TAGAATAAAGTCCATGGAGTTTGAATCCCCCGAAGTTACTTATAATTTTTATAACGCATATGGTGGTGAAGTAGGTTTTAGTGTTCGAAAGGACTATGCAATCAAAAATAGAAAATGGTTTAGAATCGTTGACTCAATCTAAGCCAAGCCAAAGTGGTGCTCTGTGTCCAGTGCCTAAAAAGTGGGGAAGATGAATAATTGCGGACTTAGGGATTTGGGGGAGCTGGATTCGGCGCCGAAGGTGAATGAAAACCGGGCTACAGTGCCTGAAAGTAGGTATTTAATGAAGGTTTGACAGGATTTGAAATTATTTGACTTCTTTTTCAAATTATTTGACCACTTTTCAAAATGGGTTCAAACCAAATTTGCTTCCAAAATTTTTAATAATTTGGTTTAATCGTGGGTAAAAAGAACCTAAATCAGGGTTAAGAAGCGCAAACATGGCACAATGTGGTCTGAGCAAAAAATTGACTGCATGAAATGCACACACAGTTAAATGCACTGAATCTGGGTCTATCCTTGTCAATAGGACCAAAAAAACTTGGTTGCATTGTCACATTATGTATAATATAATTAATGTACTTATAATATAATTATATTTATTACAATTATACTCAGTATTTATTACACGCGCATTAATGAACGATTTCATTACACAATCAAATATTTCTCTAAGATGACGTACAGAAGTTTGTCACCATCAACTATCTATGAATGTGCATGTGGTACCAATTTGATAAGTTCTACGTAATATGATTTATCTGTCCATCTATATTTTGGATCTACAAGGTCTTTGATAAGCACTAATAATTAAAAAGTTCAAAGGCATGAGAATCCAATTTCTGATAAGGTCTTTTCATCTCTATAGCCAATCAATTTTCCATGGGACCCCAAATTTATATACACTTGATATACATACAAATCACTAAATCAGTACCAGACAACTAGTAGGCAATGAACTTATTCGGATTTTGTTTAAAAAAAACTTTTTTAGATTTTGAAAAAGAGTAGTAAACCTTGTAATTCGACAATCATTATGCGAAAGAAAGTATGTGTACACTGTACACTTCCTATTTGAATAATAATTGAAGGGTAAAAAGGGAAACAAAAAAAAAAGATAAAAAAAAAGGCAATAATTAACGCAATTTCTAATAATCAATCGATGATGATGTACTGTTTAATAAACAGTTGAGAATTGTTAGGTTATGGTGCTGTATTGATGTCCCTAAAAAGGAGGAGATGATCAGGTGGAAGAGAGTGCATCCAATAAAAACGGAGAAATTCATATGTCAATGACTAAGGATCCCCATGATTCTCAGGCCGTTTCTTTTTTCTTTTTCTTTTTTCGAAAGGTCAAAAAATATATATATTAAATAAATATTGAACCTTTTCATCCCCAGTATTGAACCTTCATTTTTTTTTTTTTTTTTTGAGTGGTTAGGTTAATTTTAGAGAGTCAAACTTCGAGCCTTGGCACCCACGAACCTACAAAAACTTTAAAAAATTAATACTGCACCTTGATGGCATCGAGTATTGGGACCATAAATAACCCCTCCATCTGTTTAACATCCACAACACCAATAATTGTTGAAAAAAATTAATAATAATAAATAAATAAATAAATAAAATAACTAGTTAAAAATAGAAAAAGTAATATATATTTGTGAGATATATTTTTGTAAATTGGCAAATTTCAGTAACAAAACAAGTCCTAGTCGAATTGTAATTTCAGTTACCATATCAGGCTTGATATCGATTGCGGAATTCAGAGGTTGATCAGAAGAAGAAAGTACTATTGATCATCGACAAGGAAAGAACAATATATTAGGCCTTCGTTTCCCACTTAGGACATATTGATATACATGGTATATTAACAGAGTTCCAAAAATATAGAAAATCCAAGTTCAGGTTGGATTCTGTCAAGTGGGAACCGATACCAAGATTTGGGAACCGATTCCAGAAGTTACACTTCGAAGAATAACCTATTGTCCTTTGGGAACCGGTACTAAATATGGGAACCGATTCCACAAGTCCTGATTGTAACAGGTTTCCAGTTTCCTATTCTAATTGTTTCCTTTTTATCCCAATTTCTTTTCAATTTATATGCACGAAATTTCCGTTATTTTTTGAAGGAATAGGATTTTACAAACCTCTATATAAACCATGTCATATATAAGGTTTTTAACAACTTTGAATCATTATTCATATATCATACAAAGCCTTAGTAAGTTTATCCCTCTTAGAAAATCAAAGTTGATTTTTCTGTTATCTTCCTAGAACATACACATATTCACCTAGTTAGGTTAGACTTGTGGAGTTCGAATCCTGATCGTGATCATACAGTCGTATTAACATGGATCAGACGAAGTAGATTTTCTTCTACATCATTTAGATGATTGAAGAATAGAAGTAAACGCAGTCACACTTTGAAAGGGTTGGAGTATTCGTGGAGTATTGTCTGATCTACTTGCTACTCTCCTACAAATATCAAGTGTAAGCCTGAGGTTTAGTTGCTGTTGGACTGGTAGTCGTAAAGCCAGAGGATCGTCAGTGGTTGGTGTGGTGTAGAACGATAGGGTGTGAGCCAGAGTCAAAGTTCGGTATACTTTGTTTCAAGCATAGTGGATTGGTTTACTTTGGACTGTACAGTCTACGAGGTTTTTCTCATCACAGTTGACGTATTTTATCAACTGGAGTTTGCTCATTGAAATCCTGGTGTCATCTCTAACTTTATACTTTACTTTATTTTATCTGCATGTGATTAATTGTTTAATTGCTAAAATAAGTAAAGTTGGTAATGCCACAGATCTGTTCTACAAAATCTAAAACTTTCCTTACTACATTCCGCTGCGTACAACTCACAATATTTTTAATTAATAAGTTAATACTAATAATGGATATTAAAGGATTATAGATTTGTAGTGGATATTCATGCGACCATTTTTAACGTCATAAAAACATGTGGAAACCTCCTTTGTATTGTAAAACTTGAATGATTTGAGAGGGCACTGGTTTGCGACATCTATAGGTGCAGTAAGCACAATCTTCAATCATATTGTCCATATTAAAATATGAAGATCTAATAAATTAATGAAAAGAACATGCATAGAAAACCTGGAGAAAAAATAAATTTTAATAAACCTTTTCACACATAACATGAATCCCTATGGGCCTTGGGCAAATCTATTTTGGGCTTATTTGGGCCTGTCTTTGGGTCATTGATTAGGCTCTTTGGGTTTTACTTGTAGCTTGGGCCTTTCAAGGCTTGAAATTCTCATTTATGTACGTTAGGCTAGGCTGAAGCCCATGTAATTATTTTCGTCCATTGGATCCAAGAGGTTGTATCAAGTTGAATTGTTTTCCTGATAAATTTTGTACGAGTTTTGTGGCAAGTGGCAACCATCATCGAATCCGGAGGGGGCAACGCTAGAACACGACTTTTTGAATAAGGAAAACAACCTAACCACTCAGACAACACGATATTTGTATATCATATGAAGGTTACAAAACTTTTGCAGGGTATATCTAGAATAATATGAGAAGCATATATGTTATGAAATAAATTCTAAAACCAATTGTTAATTAAGATCTTTGGAAGTACCCTACTTAAATAAAGGTTGTCTAAAGTAATTAATGGGTTAGTTGATTAACAATGGGAATCATTAATATAACTAGTTGATCATTACAAGAGAGTTATGTATTCTTTATAATCAGATAATTTTTATAAAACCTGTTCTATAATTGTTTTATACAATGACTTTAATATTTTATATTATTCATATCACTTACTAAAATCAGTACAGCCCTTTCCAGGAGTGTTCGAAGTTCCGTTATCAAATACAATCATTTCGAATCAAACCACTTTTGACATGATAAAATTAGTCCAATTAATGTGAGAATGCAGAAATTGTTAGGGGAATTACATACTGACAATGTAAAAGTGAGAGCATAATGAAGGATGCAAGACAGACAAAATCAGAATTTTCTTCCCTGCCAAATATCATCATATTCAAAACTGAAGGTAGAATAATAAGTGCCGGGTTATAAGTGTGGTACCCAAAAGAACTGATCATATTAAAGACGAAAACAGATATTATGGGGGTCATTAGTAGGTTAGTGTCATCCTAAAAGTTTAGAAAAATAAGTGTGAAAACTAACAAGCTTGCGTAAGTGGGAGATACACTGGGTAAACTAACAAGAGTGCCCAATACTGACATGTATCTAATACAGAAACGTCGCTCATGTAGAAATATTCGTACTTCCTAGGGATGAATGAATAGACAAGTTAGAAACTTAGGACTAATTAACCATAATGTAATCAAACACACATAGATGGAAATGACCACAAGATCTTTATAAATAATAAGTCCTCTTGTTGGTAAAACAAGGGAATCCCACACACACCAACCATCACAATCACCATGAGTATTCTTTAGACCTAGAAAAGAACTAATAATTGAAAGATACAACCACACTGAAATGGAACTATGAAGCAAAACTGCCGCTTGTTAAAATTTAAAAAATTATAGCATGTTTCATAACATTACAGGTGAGAAACATAATCATCAAAATTTCCATGATTTCATAGAATTCTTTCTTTTATTTACTATTATTATTGTTATTATTAGTAAGAACACAACAATAATATTGCTAATCGCAAGGAGGAATACGCAATCTCCCATTTGATTCAATTTGATACCCTTTTATTTATTATATATTATATAATTTTTATTTATTTATTTTACAAAACGTCATTTATTAACTAAAACAACAACAATTTTTTTTTTTTTTTTTTCTGTGTTTTTGTAAATTACTCTCGATTTGAACAGAAATGTAAAATGGGATGATTGGTTGGATAATATGATTAATAAATACTATTATCATAAATAAATGGGCAGGGCATACAAACTTTTGCATTTTGCACATTACTCTCAACTTGAATATAGCTTTATGGAAGTGTAACACCTGCATACATGGAAGTGTGAATATAGATATAAACTGAAGTCTATAACATCAAATTAATAATGTATATTGTTTACACACAAATTACAAACAAATTTTGACGACTTTTACAAATGCTAATCTAGGAGCGTGAACAAGAACACATATTGAAGTCACACAATGCAGTGTGTAAATTAACAATTTTCTGCACTATACTCCTATATTTTTATAACTCTGCAACAGAAGGATTTTGTGGGTTGAAGGCAATGCAGAGTCACCAATTTCACTGTCATCACTCATATCTTCCTTTGCTTTTCCCCACATTACTGTGTAAAACCCTATTGATATTATTGTTGCTCCTACAACACTGCATAATGGGAAAAAAGAAAATTAGTGATTCGAATAAATTAAAAGCAAGAATAAGTATGTTGCTGATTCGAATAAATTGATAGCTTATATGTATAGAAGAAAGAGAGGAATATGACTATATTCTAACCATATTTGTTACCTTCCAAGATAAAGAGTATCACCGAGGAACATGAACCCCATGGCAACTGCAATGGCAATTGACAGTGGCTTGAACATTGCAACATAGACAGGGACCTTCAAATGCAATGCCCATGTGTGGACAATATTGTTCAAGAATGATCCGAAGATACCCTAAACAAGTATAGAACCCCACATTTAAACATTATTAAGAGACTCACTCAAATCAATCATATTGTAGTGGTTAAATGTCATGAATCACTTACCGAGCATACAATATAGAGCAATGCTATATCAAGTCTAACTGTCCAAGCATTCAAGTTCGGTTCTGTAATTAAACCTACAATTGCAGCTAGGATGCAGACGAATAAGTTGTAAAAGAATACTACCGTCAGTTCTGCTGGATACTCCTTCATTATTTGCACCTATTAAACGTCATACAAATTCGGAAATCAGCTTTTCTATATTCCCAAATGTAACTCAGAATTAGGTCTAGTCTGAGATAAGTTTAGAATCGTATATGTACCTGAACAATGTACCACATTGACACCAAAAAATACTCAGTTGTAAGGAAAAGGCCGCCAATGGCCCACTTTGGGCGTGGCAAGTCCAGAGGCTGACGAAGCGAAATGGAAGGAAATGAAGTACTCAATAGTGGTGAACCTTTATAGAGAACCACTACAAATGCTCCTGATATTGATACTATGGTGCCTATGATTTTAGATTGACTGCTTGAGCTTCTCAATGCTACTTTTTCCATCCTATTTGAGCCCCCAAAGAAGAACTCAAAATAGCTCAAAACACAAATATAGTCTTATAGCCCCACAATTGAAATGATCATACTTTAAAACGAATTATAGTACATATTAGTACCAAATATGACAAGAATTAGGTCATGTTAATGCCATGGTGCATTGCAACAATCTCCAAAACCAAGCCCAGACCGTGGGCTTAGAAAGTGACTCTCAAAGGGAAGGCTGATCAAGGTTTGACCCTGGCGTACCTAGCTTAAGCTAGACCTCATTACCAAGAAAAAAGTGCCAAAACTAAACCTCCTAGGCCATTCACCATTGGACACGTAAGCAATTGTGTTGGAAATGTGTAAGTTTTTCAACTTTTTGCTTACGTGTTCAATGATGATTGGCTGGGACCATCTAAAAATTTCTCCTAGGCTAATAATCTGTTCTACACCATGAAGGAAAGGAAAGAAATTGCAAAGTTTTCACAGATATGGGACAAAAGGAAAAGGGAAAAACATAGAGTAGCATTTCCCTCTGCAATCTGCATACACCAAATTAATTTCCTTACAAAAGTGAAAAAAAAAATGAACAGAGAAAGAAGTCTTCTTTTTATGTTTTTACTCTTCAATAAATAATAGTAATATTTAACACTGAAGAAAAAATTCTTAAAACTAATTTCCAAGAATTCTAGAAATAGAATACAAATTTTTTTTTAACTATAAACAAATGTTACCTGAATTTTTTTTTTTTTTTAAACTCAGTTTACAGACATTAGTTTTTATAAAACTGTCAACCAAAGGAACTCTTAAATTCTTTGAAAACATAATATTGTTTTAAAAAAACAAAACCAAATAGACACCAGCATTAAACTCGTTTTCCCTAGCTTCTTGAAAACCCTACTTTCTAAAGAATAGCTCTTTTCCTCCTCCCATTTTGTACTAAACGGACCATGAGGTATAGAATAAATTGAACCACTTTTTAAACTTTTTATTTTTTTTGGAAGGTCACTTTTTAAACTTTGATTATGTTAAAATGAAAGAAAAATAAAAATAAAAGTTAAAAGAGAATAATGGAAGAGACTAAAATGGGATTACTAAGCTTTGTTTGTACTGGTGTCCGTTTGTTATTTTGTTTGCTTTTTGTTGTTGCTAGCTTTTGGAAATGGGATTTTTGTGAAACATCTGTTTTGTAAGAGTATAGCCTTAATTTGCTATGTTGTATATTCTAGTTTAGTATTAATTTTTTATTAGAAGACAAAATTAAAAATTCAATAAAGAAAGAAGTAGGTACAAAGTCACCATCGAGTCCGGTTTAAGTTTAATTAATTACTTTAAGATTCTTATTATTTTTTAAATTAGTAAGACACCAATACACCCTCCAGGTGAAGGAAATACCAATAAGCCAATGCTAAGTGGTAATCAATTAAGCATTTTTTCATAAAATTGTATTCGTGAAACATTTTTCAAAAAAAAAATGGATGAGTCTATGACCATGAACAAGAATACTACTATATATGAAGAGAGAAAACCTGAAAATGATGGCAAGAATAAAGGTGAAAGCAGGCACCAGGTTGCTGATGGATGAAGAAAGAGTTGGAGAACTGTAATTAATGCCTGTTAATCCCATGATTAGAGATGTATACCTGCCCACATCCAATTAAACATAAATATACTTTAATCATACTGTTTTGTTACTCAATTTTCTCTCTGAGAAACTATATATATACACATATGAATATATGCTGGTAGTGTTATATATATATATATGCTGGCGTATAATTTTCTCATAAATCATTGTTTTTTTATTTTATTTATTGAAACATGCAAGAAGTTTTTATAGATGAGTAATAAATCATTAATATGCCCAATTAGGCCAAGGAGGCAAATTTTACATATGATGGAAAAATTAAGTGGAGGTAGCACTCTTGATCTGCACAATGAATAAATTGTATGTAAACAATTAATCAAACATGTAAATTGATAGAATTGAAATGATATATATATATAGATATAGAGAGAGAGGAGAGAGAGACCCGTGGGAGAAGAAGGGTGAAGGAAGGAGAAGGAGAGCTGAAATTGCATAAGCGTAAGTGATGAAGACACGATAATTGATCATCCCTTTGAGTGTGGCTGCTTTGAATAAGGTACTCAAGCCTACATTAACGCACTCCATGGTCACCAAGGTTGTCAATGGCAGCACATCTTTGTAACAGTACCTCCTACTTGTCATTTCTCTTTCTTCTCTCCTTCACACTCTCACTTTGGAGGACTGATTTAGATTTTGTTCTCGGCACAGGTCAACGATGGAGAGACTACATAGGTAGGTATAATCCCTACGGGAGGACCCCACCTGACGTGGACCTACTCTGACCTACCCTTTTGCATAGGAGAAAATATTCGATGTGTGAGATGCGCATCTGAGTCGTTCGTGCATAACAAGTGAGGGTACGAACGACTCTTATGACTCAATTCACGATGCACCGGACACATCGAATATATTATCCTTACATAGCGAATCAAGTATGAAAATAATTAAGGACTCTTATCATAACATAATCTTAAATGCAAGCAGTTTTACATGGATAATTTATTTTCGATTTGAAATTCTTAACCACTCACTGAGTCACAAGAAAGTATTTCAATTACGACAATTTTTGGAATACGTAAAAAAAATTCTTTAATAAGTATTTCAATCATGTGTTTACATATGGAAAGCAAATACTCCGTAACTCTTTTACTATCTTGAAAGTGTTACTTTTTTTTGTTTCAGTTTTTTGATATACATTAATTACTTGTGTGGTACTTTTCCTTTTAAAAAGAAAAAAAAAATAAAAATTACTTGTGTAGTAGATACATTTTTGTCTGTTGTGTGATATAATCCAATTTAACTTGAGGATCCAATGCTATGGAATGTGATTATACTGAGAATGCAGCTGCACTATTATATGGATAATGCAGCTTCAATGTAAATGTGTTACAATTTTTATTTAAAGTTGTTGCAAGGCAAAATGCCATATATCATTGGTTATATCAGTGTTGCTCGGTACACTTCAATATGGAGCAGGTATTCAGTGCATCGTGCATATTACAGTCGTTCATACACAATACATGCCCGTGCGTAATATGCATGCGCAAACATAAACAGTTACGATGTGCTCGTGCAACCGGACACAACATATATTTTTCCCTCAATATGGAATTAAAATTAAATACTGTTGTAAGAGTAAGAAATTGCACAACAAAATACAAAACAAAAAATTGCACCAGTCTCTAAATTTTGTTTATTAAGTTAATACCAGTCAACAATTACTCTTGCTAATATTAAATTTTGAAAATACTGTTCTACCCTTATAAATTTGTTTTATTTAATTAAATAAATCTAAAATTTATGGACAAAATATTAGTACATATTCAATAGCTCTGTTACTCTTCGATCATATATCAAAATAATGTTGTATTGATGCACAGACAACATCTTACACCAAGACCAACACACATGTTAATATTACATCTACAACTCAATACACACACAATACCACTACATTCATGTGTTGTATTTTTAATGTAATAGGGTTGCATTTTGTATATGACGGAGTTACTTGTTTTGATTCTCAATTTAACAGTATTGCGAAGTGTTGGCATCTAAATTTAATAGACATTACATTTCAACGTGAAGTGTTACAGGTTCATCAAAGCTCATTTTGATGCACTAAAAAGTACTAAACCTGATGTTGCTTATGCACAAGTGCATACAAACTCACAATCTATGCATTACACATACATACATATAAATAAAATACATAACTATGAATCTAATGCATATTTTGACACCTTTTGACTAGTGCTAAGCTTGGAGTATGAACAAGAACACCTTTGATGTTCCACAATGCATGCTGCTAGAGGATTAACGATTGGTACCGGGCTTCTGGTTTTCTGCACTATTCTCCTCGATTTTTATAACTCTGCAACAGTGGAGTTTTTTGTGCTGAAGGCGATTCCAAGTTACCAATTTCAATGTTATCATCATCCATCTCTTCCTTTGCTTTTCCCCACATTACTGTGTAAAACCCAATTGATATTATTGTTGCTCCTATAACACTGCAGAATAGGAAAAAAGAAGATCAGTGATTTGAATAAATTAAAAGCAGAAATAAACATGGCATTGCAGAAATAGACATGCAAGAGGGCATGAAATACAATTGCAAACCTGGAAAAGTATGGGAATAGATGATAGACTATATATTAGACATGTATGAATATAGAGAGAGGGAGGAATGTGACAGTCTTCTAAGCTATTTATTACCTTCCGAGATAAAGAGTATCACCGAGGAACATGACCCCCATGGCAACTGCAATGGCAATACACAATGGCTTGAACATTGCAACATAGACTGGGCCCTTCACGCGCAATGCCCATGTGTGGACAGCAATGTTCAAGCATGATCCGAAGATCCCCTAATCAAGTATAGAACCACACATTTAAACATTATGTCCAAGAAAGGCACTTAATTAAGCAAATTGCAGTGGTTAAATGCCATCAATCACTTACCGAGCATAAAATAGAGAGCAATGCTATATTAAGTCTGATTCTCCAAGCATTCAAGTTTGGTTCCGCAATTAAACCTACAATTGCAGCAAGGATGCTAACGCATAAGTTGTAAAAGAAGACTACACTCAGTTCTGCTGGATACTCCTTCATCATTTGCACCTGTTAAGCATCACAAAAATTCGAAAAATCAGCTTTTCTATGTTCTCAAATGTAATTCAAAATAAGGTCCAGTTTGAGGTAGGTGTTTGAGGAATTTAGAATTGTATATGTACCAGACCAATGTACCACACTGGCACCAAAATATACTGTGTGGCAAGGAAAAGGCCGCCAATGACCCAGTTTGAGCCTGGTGAGCGCAGCGGCTGACGAAGCGAAATGGAAGGAAATGAAGTCACTATGACTGGTGGACCTTTATAGAGAACCACAACAAACGCCCCTGATATTGATAATATGGTTCCTATGATTTTAGCTCGACTGCTTGAGCTTCTCAATGCTAGTTTTTCCATCCTATTTAAGGCCCCAAAGAAGAACTCAAATACATCAAAACAAAAATATAGCTAAAATACTAAATTCTTCTAACAGTCTTATAGCCCCAACTATATATATATATATATATTTTTTATAAGTAAATATATATTAACAAAGACGCTCAAAGGGGAGCAAACCCTTAACAAAGTAAACAAAAGACGCAAAAAGCGTCATTACAACGATAAGTTGTCAACAAAATCCAGCAAACTGTCCACAGATGGACAATTTCTCCCATTAACCCAAGAAAAAAGCAAATACAAAACATACGACTTAATAACCCATGTTGGTGCCTCCTTTCCCTCGAAAGATCTCCTGTTCTGCACCAGCCACAGCCCCCACCAAACACAAGGAGGTGCAACCCTCCAAGCTTTCCTAACCCGACTCCCCATTGATCTCCCTCTCCAAGCCTCTAACATGTCCACCGTGTTCTTTGACACCACCCACTCAACCCCAAACACATTCAAAACCATACTTCAAACATCCGCTGCCACTTTGCAATGCAACAATAGATGGTTAACCGATTCGCCAGTCATCTTACACATGCAGCACCAATCAATTGCTATTCGGCCTCTTCTTCTAAGATTATCAATAGCAAGAATGCTGCCAAGTACCACTGTCCATGTGAAAAATGCCACCTTCAATGGAGCTGACATCCTCCATACAGCCTTCCAAGGGAACCCATTGCGTAACGAATCCGTAAGACTATTGGAATGATCATACTGTTAGCCGAGATATGATAAGCCCAAATAATGGGATGTGACTTACCATGTTTTCTGAGATATGATAGCCACAAATCATGGATTTGACTTTATTTACGCATATGTCTAGGTATAGAATATGCAATGATTTTATTTAGTTTCCTTTATTGTAATATTAACATGTGTTCTTTTTAGTATATAAATATAACAGTTGTGAATAAGAGTATATACATCTCATTCAAACCTTTTACATATTTATCCTCTTTCTTTTATATTATATTTCTTCTTGGTATCAGAGCCAGGGTGGTCCGACTGCAATGAGGGCATTGCAAGTTTGGCACCACCCATTCGAGAATGGTCTAAGGAGACATCCCCCATCCGGCCATTCGGAAATGGTCCGAGACGTCGTCGTTTTTTTTTATGGTCTGAGGAGACATTGTTGATTCTTTCATCTACATTGTTTAAACATATGTATGAAGGGGAATGGTCTGAGGAGACATTGTTGATTCTTTTATCTACATATTGTAAACATGTGTCTGAAAGGAAATGGTCTGAGCAGACATTGTTGATTGTTTACGGTCTGAGGAGACATGGTTGGTTGTTTTGGGTCTGAGGAGACATTGTTGAATGTTTATGGTTTGAGGAGACACTTTGATTTGTTGATCGGATTTGCACGTGTTGGCAAGACCGTGTTTAATGATGCATTGTCCAAGTTGAGCGTCTCAGACATCCACGCACCAACTTTAGGGGGAGTGTTAGCCGAGATATGATAAACCCAAATCATAGGATGTGACTTACCTTATTTTCTGAGATATGATAGCCACAAATCATGGATTTGAAATTATTTACACATATGTCTAGGCATAGAATATGCAATGATTTTATTTAGTTTCCTTTATTGTAATATTAACATGTGCTCTTTTTAGTATATAAATATGAGAGTTGTGAATGAGTGTATATACATCTCATTCAAACCTTTTACATATTTATCCTCTTTCTTCTATTTTATACTGAATATGACAAGATCAAATAGGTCTTGTTAATGCCATGGAGCATTGCAACAATTTCCAGTGCACCATGCCTCCACAACCTAGCCTACACCTTAGGCTTAGAAAGTGCTCAACTCTGAAGAGGAAGGCTGATCATGGCTTGAGCCTAGCCTACTTAACTAAAGCTGGATCTCATTACCAAGAAAACATTGCAAAAACTAACGCTAGGATGTCTGAGCTAATGATCTGTTTCTGCACGAAGAAGGAAAGGAAGGAAATTGCAGACTTTTCACTGTTTGTGACAAAAGGAAAAGGGAAAAAGAAAAACAAAGAGTAGCCTTTCCCTCTGCAACCTGGAAACACCAAATTAATTTCCTCCCAGAAGTGGACTGAAAGGACGAGAGAAAGGAGTACCACTAGGGACATTTTGTGGATACTGGGTGTGTGTGTTCTTCACTTTTTAATCAAATAATAGTAACTTAATAGTTAAATTTAACACTAAAGACTAAATTCGTAAAACTAATTTTCAAGAATTCTGGAAAAAGAATACAGATTTTTTAAAATTAAAAAATAATGTTATCTGAATTTGTTTAACTCAATTTTCAGAAATTTGTCCTTAAAAAACTGTCAACCAAATGACATTTTAAATTTTTTGAAAACATTTTCTTGTTCTAAAAAAACTGAACCAAATAGACCCCATATTTAACTCGTTTTCCCTAGTTGAAAACTACTTTCTTAAAAAAAAAACCTCTTATCTTCGCCCCATATTCCCCCCCTCAATTTTCACCTTTGCACTAAACAGGCTGTAAGGTATAGAATAAATTGAACCACTTTTTAAACTTTGATTATGCTTACAAGAAAGAAAGAAAAATTTAAAAAGAGGATAATTGAAGGGACTAAAAATGGGATTACTAAATGTTGGTCTATGTTCACATATGATCTTGTTTTGCTCATTTAATGTCAAAAACAGGCTATTAATGTTATGATCTATGTTGCGTCTAATGTGTCTTGATAGTGTATTTTCTCATTGTGCTGTTGCCATTATTGTCTGTTCCAGTGAGCATATGTGTTTATCAATTCATCATGAGTCTCATACATCTGAGCTCATTGAATTTATTAGGAAGATTGAGTCTGCTTTTCACAGTTTTAATATTGTGGTTACGCTGTCTACAGTCATTGTATGTGTGCTTATTTAATCAGGTATGCACTAACAGCTCTGTCAAGGGCAGGTGTTGCTCTCGGGCTCTTCCAGCACACTGTCATCTAGAAAGTTCCTCTGCAGTGCATTTGTCTCAATAGTCCTTGGCTCAGGTCATAGAGAATTTAAATTCTGAGGGCAGTCTTGCTACTTTGGTAAAGTGAACAGAGAGAGGGGCATATAGATGTATTTTCCTGTTGAGCTATGGTCAGAATTGTAGCTGGCATTGTACTAGGACGGATTGCATCAAAGGGTTACATCATCGTCTTGCTATAAAAGTTCCTGTTGCAGCACCTGTGATGTGCTCTGCCTGCTGAAATAGTTTATTCTGAGTGTCTAAGGTAGAGAACCTCTGAGAGCCATTCCTCTTCATTGAAAAACATTCCAAATGACCTCATAAGAGGGTGTGAAGGAAGAAGAGAGCTGCAGTCTCATAGTTAGGTCAGCAGACTATGGTGTTTGTATCAGCTATAGTAACAGAGAGAGCTAGAGCTTCTTCATCATTAGAGTCATTCGAAAATGACTTGACCTAGATTATTCTATCATTCCAATCTTACAGTAGTCAAGAACAAGCTTTGCATTCGACTGCAGCAACTTCTGCATCAGCCATACCTCATTTGGCTGAAATCGATGATGTTGAGAGCTTCTTTATGGTATGATTAGTACTACATTGCTGTGATCTATTCCATTTATCCTTAAAGCAAGTATAGAACAATATTGTGAAGCTTCTTAAGCTGTTCTCGAGCATGGATTGAGGCCTATTCTAATTCTGATCTCTCTAGCCTCAGTTCTGCACTCACAGCGACTAGTACAAGTACTGTGAGTTTCTATTCTAGCTAAACAAGTGAGTCACTCTTATCTTAATTGTTGGAATGCTTATTTATCATCTCTTTGTATTGCTTTTGTGGGTGGATAGTCCCAAGCAATGGGTGTTGTGGACAGGGGGAGCGTTTGACTGAACTTGTAGTGAGATTGGCAAGTGTTAAGTCCAAGCATTAGGGGCTTTGGACAGGGGAAGTGAAGAGTGACTTGTAGTGAGTTTGGTGTGTGCTGTGAGTGAGAGTGTAACAGTTTGTATACTTCAGCTTTACTCATAGTGGATTTGGAACAAGGCTTTAAGGTCTCGAGGACATTTCCCCTGCAAAAGGAGTTTTACCTCGTAAATTTGGTGTTCTACATTTAGCAAGCGTGTCTCTTGTGCATTTCATCAAACAGGTTAGCTTAATTAGGGTTTGTAAGGGACTTTCATCAAACAGTTTTGAATTTGAGCATACCACTGCATCTCTAGCGTTCTGTTGACTCCCATTCAACTCGCATAGCTCAGTTCAAAGTTGAGAAAAGAAATTGAAAACCAATTCACCCCCTCTCCCACTTGGTCTTCACTAAGTACTGGTGTCTGTTTGATTGTAGGAGTTTGTGTTTTTTTTTTGCTTTTTGTTGTTGCTAGCTTTTGGACATGGGCTTTTTGAGCCATTTGTTTTATAAGGGTATGCTCTTACTTTGCTAAGTTGTATACTCTGGTTTGGTAATAAATTTTGCTTCGGAAAAAAAATAAATAAATAGAAGTTAACAAGGTCACCATTGAGGGGTTTAAGATTACTATTATTATTTTTTTAATCTGTAATACATAGTAATACACACTCAAGGTGAAGGAAATACCACTCAATTCAATGCTAGAAAGAAAGAAAAAGAAAAGTTAAAAAGTCAATAGGGAAAGAAGTAGCCACAAAGTCACCATTGATTCCGGTTTAAGTTTAAATACTTTAAGATTATTAGTACATTTTTGTCAATAAGACGCACTAAGACATTATCCAGCTGAAGCAACAACCACTGAAATCGATGCTAAGTGCCAAATTAATCATTTTACATAGAATTGTATTTGTAAAATAATTTTAAGAAAAAAAAAAAATGGATGAGTCTACAATCATGAACAACAATACAAATGTAAGGGATGAAGAGAGAACCTGAAAATGATGGCAAGAATAAAGGTAAAAGCAGGGACCAGGTTGCTGATGGCCGAAGAAAGTGTTGGAGAACTGTAATTGATGCCTATGAATCCCGTGATTTGAGATGTATACCTACTCACATCCAATTAAACATAATTATACTCTAATTATACATCCATCTCTTGATTCTTAATCATACTCTTATTTTAATTTTTTTTCAACTGAAACAACAGGTTGTGCATATATGACTAATAAATCAGCATACCCAATTAGGCCAAGGAGGCAGAATTTGCATATGATGGAGAAATTAAGTGGAGGTACCACTCTTGATCTGCACAATGATTAATTTTATGCAAACATTAAGAAGAACATATAAATTGCTATGATGTGATATGATATATATATATATAGAGAGAGAGAGAGAGGAGAGAGAGAGACCTGTGGGAGAAGAAGGGTGAGGGGAGGAGAAGGAGAGCTGCAACTGCATATGCGTAAGCGACGAATACATGGTAACTGATAAACTCTTTGACTGTAGCCGCTTTGAATAAGGTATTCAAGCCTACATTAACGCACTCCATGGTCACCAAGGTTGTGAATGGCAGCACATCCTTGTAACAGTACCCCCTACTTGTCATCTCTCTTTCTTCGCCTTCACACAGTACACACACTCTCTTCTGAATTAGATTTTATCCCGTGCGAGGTCAACCTACTCTACTTAAACGTGGAGACGTCCTCTGGGTGTGGTCCCCACAAATGGTGGGAAAAGACAATTATGCACTTAATAAAAAAAATTTATATTGTGGATAATCGATTTTGTTATATAACGAGAGAGAACTGTATCAGTGTTTTTACGGTTAATATTATGGTTAAATTATAGTGATCACCCTCAATGATTACTCCAAAAATATAAATCTATATATATATATATAGATATAAAATAAAACAAAAAAAATACATTGAACTTCTCCATAATCCATAGTTTTAAAACAAATGTCGTTTCTCAAAATTAATACCACTCAACAATTATTTGTGTTGGCATTAAAATTTCAAATTATCATTTTACCCTTACAAAATTGTTTTATTTAATTAAAAGAATCTAGATTTTACAAACAAAATTGTGAAAGTTCATATCAAGAGTTTGACTAAATTGTCTAACCATGTAATTTTTCTAAATTGTGAAACATATGAAAGTGTCAAACCTAATAAAATATTACAGTGTTTAATTAATAAGAAACTCTATGTACTTGAAAAAAATTCATATACAATGGAGTACAAATTTTTAGGAGTCAACTTATGTTTAAATTATATGTTACCAAAAACACATAACAATGAAAATATTGCAGAATTTTTCGGAAAAAAAAAAATGATAACATTACGTGAACCGAACAATCTCCTTTATTGAACTGGTTTTTTCATCAATTTTTTATTTTTATTTTTATTTTTTTATATTCACACATTGTATCTTTGGCCTATGCAATTAGCCTTGATGGGTTGGATGAGCCCTTTTTTGGTGAGAAATTTGACACATTTGGTTTTTAAATTTATTTTTATTTCCTAGGAGGTGGAGTCAACCTCTCAGAACAATTCATTATTGAAAAAAAATCGCTAAAGATTGCTCCAATGCAAATTCCCTAATTCGAAGGAGTAAGTTGAGAGACTTTGTTATCAGAATTGTCCATAATATTCTGTTAACTTGGCAAACGAACAAAGTAAAATAATTACAGACATTTTTGGCTCTACGGTTAATCAAAGTATCAAACATTTATAACACAACCAAAATAAGTCCAAGTGTGGTAGCAATTCAACATGTTGGTTTCACAGAACCAACTTAGGTGGCGTTTGATAAAACTAAAAATTAAGTACTGAAAATTTTAAGAACTGAAAATTTTAAAAATTGAAGTTTTTAAGTGATAAATAAAAAATAAATATTTTTTAAAATTTTCAGCGTTCAGCATTCAATAATAAATGATGTCCTAATGTTATTGGTATATCATCGCTTTCTTGCAAATTCGTACACTTGTATTCAAACTTTTAAAATTTTATCAGTATGCTAAAAATACATAAAGTACTTGGCAAAGGTTGTTTTACTGCCTATCTATTCCTAATAAGTAATTCTCCATCAAATGCTTTGAATTATTTTCTTTTCAAAAAAAAATAAAAAAGGTTGTTTGAATTAACTGCTTCAATTTCAACTCTAGCATCAATAAATTAATAAAATATATTTATAACATGAACTTGTTATTTTTACACAAGAACGTCACACATTAATTAAAACAACACCAACATTGCTTGATTACATTGTTTGATTCTAAATTCATAACAATGTTTTGTGTATAAAAATATGTACAGATATATACAATATCTAGGACTTTGCGGTTCCATGACCTTTAGGTCAACAATCCTCACTTATTCATAGTATGATATAAATATACATCACTGTCTCTCTATCTTCATTTCACATTTCACATATTTCCAGTGAGATCCACTTTTATGACAACTAAAGGCTACCAACCTAGTTGCAGAACCACCAATACTTATAATTGAAAAGGAAAAGTGATCTCTCCGACTATTTTATGTGACTGAGAAATGATGTCATCATGACAGCTAACGTTCCCCTCACATAAATGCAGTCTGATATCTCTTGACTTTGGATCGCTGTATCACGACTCTTTCAAAAGAGCAGTTTGTGTGCAAAAACTAGTAAATCCAGATTGTTACCACTAGAGAAGTCGGATATGTCCTGCTTCCATTTTTCTGCTCTATGCTCCTTGATTTTTATAACTACGCAACAGGGGGATTTTGTGGGTTGAAGGCGATTCTAAGTTACCAATTTCATTGTCATCACCCATATCTTCCTTTGCTTTTCCCCACAATACTGTGTAAAACCCAATTGATATTATTGTTGCTCCTGCAACACTGTAGAATGAGAAAAGGAAAATTAGTGGTTTGAATAAATTAAAACCAAACAAAATCATGCCATTGTTCGGAAAAGTATGGAACAAGTTGATAGCCTATATTATACATTATATGTACACACATAGAGAGAGGAATATGGCAATCTTCTAAGCATATTTATTACCTTCCAAGATACAGAGTATCGCCGAGGAACATGACGCCCATTGCAACCGCAATGGCAATTGACAATGGCTTGAACATTGCAACGTAGACCGGCCCCTTCAAGTGCAATGCCCATGTGTGGACAGCATTGTTCAAGAATGATCCGAGGATCCCCTAAACAAGAATAGAATCCCACATTTAAACATTATTGCCAAGAGACGCACTTAATCAATCATATTGTAGAGAGCAATGTCATCAATCACTTACCGAGCATATAATAGAGAGCAATACTATATCAAGTCTAATTCTCCAAGCATTCAAGTCTGGTTCTGTAATTAAACCTACAATTGCACCTAGGATGCTAACGGATAAGTTGTAAAAGAAGATAACCGTCAGTTCTGCTGGATACTCCTTCATAATTGACACCTATTAAAAGTGACACGAATTCGAAAATCAGCTTTTCTAGGTTCTCAAATGTAATTCAGAATTAGTTCCAGTTTGAGATTATGTATATGTACCAGAACAATGTACCACATTGCCACCAATATAGACTGCGTTGCAAGGAAAAGGCCGCCAATAACCCAATTTGAGCACAGTGAGTGCAGAGGCTGACGAAGCAAAATGGGGAGAAATGAAGTCAATATGAGCGGTGGACCTTTATAGAGAACCACTACAAGTGCTCCTGATATTGACACTATGGTGCCTATGATTTTAGCTTGACTGCTTGAGCTTCTCAATGCTACTTTTTCCATCCTATTTGATGCCCCAAAGAAGAACTCAAATAGGTCAAAACACAGATATAGCCAATATACCACAGACTTAAAACAGTCTTATAGCCCCAACTATTTAAATGATCAGACTTCAAAATGAACTGAATATGACAAGAAATAGGACTTGTGAATGCCATGGTGCATTGCAACGAAAATACACAGCTTGAGCCTAGCCTACCTAACTGAAGCTGGACCTAATACGGGAAAAACATTGCCAAGACTAAACCTAGTATGTGTGAGCTAATGATCTGTTCCGCACCATGAAGGAAAGGAAGGAAATTGCAAAGTTTTCACAGTTTGGGACAAAAGGAAAAAGGAAAAAAACAGAGAGTAGTCTTTCCCCCTGCAACCTGCATACACCAATTTAATTTCCTCACAAAAGTTGAAGGAAATGAAGAGAGAAAGGAGTTTCCTTTTTATATTTTTACTCTTCATTAAAAGAATAGTAGTTTAATAGTTAAATTTAACACTAAAGTCTAAATTCTTAAAACTAATTTTCAACAATTCTTGAAATAGAATACTGATTTTTTAAAACTAAAAAGAATGCTATCTGAAATTTGTTTGATTTTATTATTATTTAAAAAAAAAAAAAAAAAAAAAAAAAAAAAAAAAAAAAACCCTCAGTTTTCAGAGATTAGTTTTTATAAAACAGTCAGCGAAACGAATTTTTAAATCCTATGAAAACGTTTTCTTGCTCTAAAAAAACTGAACCAAATAGCCACAGCATTTATGTCTTTTTCCCTTGAAAACCTTGCTTTCTTAAGAATTAACCCTTTTCCTCCTCCCATATTCCCATCTCTCAATTTTCACCATTGTACTAATTTACTAAACGAACTGTAAGGCATAGAATAAATTGAACCACATTTTTAACCTAGATTATGCTAAAAAAGAAAGAAAAGTAAAAATAAAAGTTGAAAGAGGATAATGAAAGGGACAATGGGATTACTAAGCTTTGTTTGTACTGTTTGCTAGTTTTTTTTTTGTTGTTGCTAGCTTTTGGAAATGGGATTTTTTGAGCCATCTGTTTTTTAAGGGTATGCCCTTACTTTGCTTTGTTGTACACTAATAAATTTTGCTAAAAAAAAAAAAAAAAAAAAAAAGAGTTAAAAACTCAATGGAGGAAGAAGTAGGTACAAAGTCACCACCACATAAGTACATCACACAATCCTTCTCAACAAGTGTTTATCTCACGTGTATTTTTTATTTTAAAATCAGATACACATACCAACACACCCTTCAAGTAAAGGAAATACCACTCAAGTCAATGCTAAGTGGTAAATCAATTAAGCATTTTTATAACATTTTTCAGAAAAATAAAATAGATGAAACTGTAACAATCATGAACAATAATACAAAGAAAATTATATTAAAAAGATGAAGATAAATTAAACCTGAAAATGATGGCAAGAACAAAGGTGAAAGCAGGGATCAGGTTGCTGATGGCCGAAGAAAGAGTTGGAGAACTGTAATTGATGCCTGCGTATCCCATGATTGTAGATGTATATCTGCCCACATCCAATTTAAACATAAATCATACTGTTATTTTACTCAATCTTCTCTCTATCTCAAATAATAATAAATAAATAAAAACTATATATATACACATATGAATCAGAAATCATTGATTTATTTTGTTTTATTTTGGAATGAAACAACACGTTCTATATAGATGAATAATAAATCAGCATACCCAATTAGGCCAAGGAGGCAGATTTTACATATGATGGAGAAATTAAGTGGAGGTAGCACTCTTGATCTGCACAATGAATGTATTGTTTGTAAACAATAAATCAAACATGTAAAATGATATATATATATATATATATATATAGAGAGAGAGAGAGAGAGAGAGAGAGAGAGGAGAGAGAGACCTGTGGGAGAAGAAGGGTGAAGGAAGGAGAAGGAGAGCTGCAATTGCATAAGCGTAAGCGATGAAGACATGGTAACTGATGATCCCTCTGAGTGTAGCAGCTTTGAATAAGGTATTGACGGCTACAGTAACGCATTCCATGGTCACCAAGGTTGTAAATGGCAGCACATCTCTGTAACAATACCTTCCATTTCTCATCTTTCTTCCTTCTCCTTCACGCTCTCTTTGTCAACCGTGGAGACTACCTTTATATTTGTAGTCTCCACAAAAAGGGCCCACCCTATTGAAACAGAGAATCAGGTTCCAGCGTACATTTTTGGCTATAATGTTATATAATGCTATTAACTCCATATCTAATAATATTACATTAAGGATGTGATAGTTAAGGTGTTTCATTTTTTATTTAAATCTGTAATATTGCATGTAATTGTATCATGCTATATGGATCTTGAAAGTAAATGCGTTATATATATAAATTTTTTTTTCAAGGAAAGTAAATGGTCTGATGGTATTAAATGATGTTGTATCATTAGGAAATTGCTCAATAAAATACAATACAAAAAGTTGTATCAAATATTATCCTGATTCATGTTAGTGTATTATAATATAGTTAAATTATAAAAATTAATAATTATTATATATATATATATATATATATATATATTACGTCAATGATGATAGATTTAGACATCTTAAAGCATTGAATAATCTATCACGAGAAGTATTTGCCATAAAACTATTCCTTAGGATTGAATAAAAATATGTTAACCTTTTCTACACCAATCTCGTTTTTTAATTTTACTACCAGTTTACAATTACTTTTTACAAATATTAAATTTTGAAGCACTATTTCCCGAAATTATTTTATTTAATTTAAAAATTATAAAATTCATGGATAGTAAAAGTACATATATTCTCCCACCCTTTTTTTCTTTTTTTTTGATGCACTAAAAAGTACTAAACTTGATATTGCTTATACCCATATACATAAAAATAAAAAAAAAAACTCACAATCTATATATTACATGCACATACATGCATATAAATAAAATAAATAACTACGTTTCTAATGCATATTTTGACCCCTTTGACTAGAGCTAAACTTGGAGCATGAACAAACACCCATTTGATGTTACACAATGCATATGACTAAGTAATTAATAATTAGAAATAGGCTTCTGTTTTTATGGGTACAATATTGTAGCATTTTTTATATAAAGGTGCTACTTGTGTTTTGATTCTATATTTAACGTTATTGCAAAGTGTTGCATCTAAATTTAATAGTATATATTACATCTCAATATAAAGTTTTACATGTTCATCAAAGAAACGTCATTTGATGCACTAAAAATTACTAAACCTGATCTAGATTCTACACAAATACATACAAACTCACAATCTATATGTTACACATACATACATATAAATAAAATATATAAAGTACGTTTCTAATGCATATTTTGACCCCTTTGACTGATGCTAAGCTTAGAGCATCAACAAGTACACAATTGAATTTCCACAATGCATATTGCTATGTAATTAACAATTAGAAATGTGCTTCTGTTTTTCTGCACTACACTCCTTGTTTTTTATGATTCTGTAACAGAGGAATTCTGTGGGCTGAAAGCGCTTCCAAGCTATCAATTTCACTCTCATCAACCATCTCCTCCTTTGCTTTTCCCCACATTACTGTGTAAAATCCAATAGAGATTATTGTTGCTCCTACAACACTGCATAATGGGAAAAAGATTATTAGTGATTCGAATAAATTGCTGTTATAGTTTTAAGCTAATTTTTATGGGCATATATGGACATGCAATAGGGCATGAAAAACAATTGCAAAAACTGAATTACTATGGAAAAATTGAAAGCCTACATTATACATTTATGTGTACACAAAGAGAGAGGAATGTGACAATGAGCTAAGCTGTTTATTACCTTCCAAGATAGAGAGTGTCACCGAGGAACATGACCCCCATGGCAACTGCAATGACAATTGACAATGGCTTGAACATTGCAACATAGACAGGCCCCTTCAAGCGTATTGCCCATGTGTGGACGGAGTTGTTCAAGCATGATCCGAAAACCCCCTAAACAAGCATAGAACCCCACATTTAAACATTATTGCAACGAGACACACTTAATCGATCGTATTTGGTGGTTGAATGCCATCAATTAATCACTTACCGAGCATACAATAGATAGCAATGCTATATCAAATTTAATTCTCCAAGCACTCCAGTTTGGTTCTGTGATGAAACCTACAATTGCAGCTAGGATGCTAACGATCAAGTTGTAGAAGAAGACTACGGTCAGTTCTGCTGGATACTCCTTCATGATTTGCGCCTATTACATGTCACACAAATTCAAGAAATCAGCTTTTCTATGTCCTCAAATGTAATTCAAAAGAAGGTCTAGTTTGAGATAGGTGTAGGAGGAATTTGAAATCATATATGTACCTGAACAATGTACCACATTGGCACCAAAATATACTCAGTTGTAAGGAAAAGGCCGCCAATCACCCAATTTGAGCGTGGCGAGCTTAGAGGCTGACGAAGCGAAATGGAAGGAAATGAAGTCAATATGACTGGTGGACCTTTATAGAGAACCACTACAAATGCTCCTGATATGGATACTACGGTACCTATGATTTTAGCTTGGCTGCTTGAGCTTCTCAATGCTACCTTTTCCATCCTATTTGAGGCCCCAAAGAAGCAAAAAGATTAAAAATAAGTAATGGTTTCAATAGGAGAAGTGGACTCTCAAGTTTCAACACTATGATGAACTTGGTTGAAGCATCTGACCGAGTAAGTACTCAAATAGGTCAAACCACAAATATAACTAAAATGCTACATATTTTTAACAGCCATATAGCCCCAACTATTGGAATAATCATACTTAAAACTAAACCTAGTATGTGTGAGCCAATGATCTGTTCTGCACCATGAAGGAAATTGCAGAGTGTTCACAGTTCGTGATTAAAGATGACGGAAAAAAAACAGGGAGTAGCATTTTCTTCTGCAATCTACAGACACCAAATTTTTTTTTCCTCCCAAAAGTGGAAGGATATGAAGTCTCCTTTTTTTCTGTTTTTACCCTTCAATGGTTAAATTAAACCCAAAAGATTATTCTTAAAACTAATTTTTAAGAATTTTCAAAACAAAATACAAAATTTTAAAAACTAAAAAAGAATGTTAGTTAATTTGTTTTTCGTTAACTCAGTTTTCACATATTAGCTTTTATTAACTGTCAATCAAATTAGTTTTAAATTAATTCTCTGAGAACATTTAACCCATTTTCCCTATTTGAAAACCTTATTGTTCTAAGAATAACTCTTTTGCTCCTCCCAATTTCCCCTCTCTCAATTTTCACCCTTGCACTAAAAGGATGGTAAAGTATAAAATAAATTGAACCACTTTTTCAACTTTGATAATTGAACCACTTTTTCAACTTTGATAATGCTGAAGAGAAAGAAAAAGAAAAGCAAAAAAGTAAATAGAAAAGAAAGAAAAAGAAAAGCAAAGAAGTAGGTACAAAGTCACTGTTGAGTGCGGCTTAAGTATAAATACTCTAAGATTATTATATTTTTTAAATCAGTTAGACACACTAATACACCATCCAGCTGAAGTAAATACCACTCAAGTCAATGCCAAGTGGTAACTCAATTAAGCATTTTACATAAAATTGTATTTATAAAACATTTTTCATAATAATAATAAAATAAAAAAATTGGATGAGGCTGTAATAATCATGAACAATAATACAAAGAAAAAAATATATAATAAAGGATGAAGAGAAAAAAACCTGAAAATGATGGCAAGAATGAAGGTGAAAGCAGGTATCAGGTTGCTGATGGCAGAAGAAAGAGTTGGAGAACTGTAATTAATCCCTGTGTACCCCACAATTTGAGATGCACACCTAATTACATCCAATCAAACACTAAAACACTTTAATTATACATCCAATTAAGCATAAATAAAATTTAATTATACATCCATCTCTTGATCCTAATTAATCACAGTTTTTTTTATTTATGAAACAACAAGTTCTGTAAGATGAGAAATAAATCACCATACCCAATTAGGCCAAGAAGGCAGATTTTAGATATGATGGAGAAATTGACTGGAGGAAGCACTCTTGATCTGAAGAATGAATAATTGTAGGTAAGCAATTATTCAAAAAGAAACAGAGGAAGCCTTTTTATATGTCATTCCATACACGATTATGAAGAAATTAACACCTAAATTGATATAATATGAGATATATACATATATATGTATGTATAGAGAGAGAGAGAGACCTGTGGGAGAAGAAGGGCGAAGGAAGGAGAATGAGAGCTGCAACTGCATAAGCATAAGCGACAAAGACATGGTAGCTCATGCCTTTGAGTGTGGCCGCTTTGAATAAGGTGTTCAAGGCTACATTGATGCACTCCATGGTCACCATGGCTGTCAATGGCAGCACATCTCTGTAACAATACCTCCCACCTGTCATCTTTCTTCTCCCTTCCCCCTTTCTCTCGCTGTCTCTCTTTCTCTCTCTAGAGGACACACTTTCTCTCTCTATCTCTCGAGTGTGGAGGACACATTTTTCTGTTTTTATCTACTATATAAATGTGTTTTATGAGTGCTGTTACTTTGTTGCATCCTTGAAAAACTGCACAATAAAATGAGGTACAAAAAGAGAGGATTAAGATTCATGTATAGTATATAAATTATATAGTTGAATTATAGTGATGTTTACATTCACCTTCTTCATAAAATATAATTCTAAAACAAATTTTGTATTTTAAGATTAATTTCAGTCAACAATAATCTTTGTAAACTTTAACATTTCAAATAAAATATCTAGAATTTCTGGACAACATAGTAAAAGTACCTATTTGAGAGTTGGACTATCTGTCAATATAATTTTTTAAATAAAGAGGAGATCATTGTAATTATAAAAAATATATTTGTATATTATTTAATATATATATATATACACACACACACATATATTTACGGACATGTGTCTGTTCGTGTGGAATGCAACTTAATGATTTCCTTGTGATCCTCTCCCCTGCGTGCGACAGAGCATTGTTACTTTTTGGTACGCTAAAACGATGTCGTGCTAGTGCATACACTAAGCCTTGCATTGCATCACATGGATCATTATTATATTTAAGAGTTAATTACAGTCACATTCTTAAAATTTGTCTTATTGACAATTAAATGGAAGTTGACTTATTTTTGGACACTCAGACACTGATAAAAAAAATTAATACAAACAAATCTTTAAAAAATAAATAAATAAATAAGATGAGATAATCCTTCAATAAAATGTTAACTTTATCTAAAAAAAAATTAAAATATTTAAATAACAAAATTACCCTTCAACGTTATTAACCACACGTTTGTCTCCAAAAACCCATAAATCTGCAACTCTATCTCTCTACCATCCACTGAGCCATTATTAGTAAAACATAATTTTTCTTTTAGATCAAGTCTGTTTACACACACATACAGATGTTAAACCTGTTTGTAAATATATATGAAAACCATCAAAATGTGTGTGTGTGTATATATATATATATATTCATTCATTCTCTGATTGTAATTTGTTGAAGAAAAGTTCAGATTTTGACACATTCATATCAATCGGCATGGGCATTGCCTATCTTGATTTCTTCTAATTTTTTACTTACGAAATTTAAATATATAGACCCAATTCGTTAATTATATTTGGGGTTGGTTTTGTGTTCTTCAATTACTGTATTTCTATTTATTTTTAGTTCACAATTTTTATATGGTTCAGAATCCTGATATCCATATAGATGTTATTGAGTTCTATTCTTTAATATCAATGGCAGTAATAAGTTAAACCCTCCCTTTCTCATAACCATGACAGAGTAATTTTTTAAACCCAGTTCTTAAATTTGCTGAATAATCCATTCATTTTGTTATTGTTTGTGTTGGGGTTAGATTTGAATTTGAAATAGGAAGGTCATTGAGCTCTAGCCGGAGAGACGATGACCCACTGGTTGCATGTTCATTGTGTCCTTCCTTATTTTTAGATTTCGGTCTGTTGATGCCATCTTTTTTGTAACTGTCCTCTAGTTTTCATAGATTGAGCGAGGAGGGTGAGGATGACAGAAAAGGGTGTTGGGTTGGTGGCAATTTTGGACTTGGTGTGGTGCCGGTGGCTAGTTGTAAAAAGGGTCATTTGTTTCACGTCGGAATCGGACAGTGGATATAAATGGGTGGGTATGCAATACTACCCAATAGTTCGAGTTTTTAGGTAAATGGGCAAGCGCCAACCTGTTACAGTTAGTATTAAAGTCAGACACAGTGCTTGATTCGGTGTTACGCCAAGCGCCCGATTCGAAAGGCGTCCGGGTTAGCACCCCAGATAAACAGGGTGGCCCGAACTGCAACGCGCTCTCGTTGCGAGTTTGGGTGGGGGAGAATGTAACAAGGGTTATTTTTTCCACATCGGAATCGGATAAGAAAGTAATTGAGTATAAATGGGTGAGTATACAATACTATCCAATAATTCAAACTTTTAGGTAAATGGACAAACGCCCACCTGTTACACTAATTATGAAGTGGTGGTGGTGCTAATGGCTTCCCTTTTTTCTTTCCCAACATTAACTCTAAAATCATATTTAAAATAAATATTATACGTAGTATAATAACTTTTTTAAGGTCATTGATATGAATATTAATTTGTTCACAGAAGATAATGGAGAAGGGAAAAAGAGAGGGGGGATAGATAATGGAGAAGGGGTAATTGATCTTGGTGGTGTGCGGTAGATTTGTTGAAAAAAAGGTTTAAAAGGTAATTTAATTATTTTAAATGATCAACTCACATGTCAAAGGGTAACAATGTCAATTCACTATAGGCAGCTGATCATTGAGGTGTCTTTGTGAACTTTATCAAAACTGAGAGGGTGTGATTATCCAAAATAGAGCTAACTTTTATCTGGCTGTCAATATAGGAAACTTCAAGAGGTGTAACTGTAATTAACCCTACCTATATTTAAAATACAAATTCAAATTCCATCCGTGAAGAAGATTATGTATGGGTGGGCAAATAATTCATGAACACACGAATCGGATCGCTACATCCATGGATCGATGACGAATTAAAAAAAAAATCGAATCCGTAACTCACGAATTGAGCTATTAAAAATCTGATCCGTGAGTCTGATTTGATCTGATCCATGAAATATATATTTTTTCAAATAATATATTAGTAAATTATGAAAAAATAATAATATACTAGTTAATTTAATTAGTTAATTATAAGTTAATGGGTTTTAAAGATGTATTAGTTAATAATTATTTAAATATATGAATTAATATAAATAAATTAAAATTTTATCAATTGAGTTATTGTTAAAAGACAAATTAATAATAAATAATAATAATAATAGATAATTTAAATAAAATTCAATTCACGGATTCAATTCTATCCGTTATTACACGGATTCGATCTGTGGAATAACAGATCGGTGACGAATTAAGATTTGTCTAATCCATTGAGAACAGATCGAATTAAAATTAATGCCTAATTTAATCCGTGACCAGCTTTAAGATTATGTGCTTTCATCCGCGTAAGTTATTAGCGTAACGCACTTTGTGGTAATACAATAAATATATAAAAAAGATATAAAATAATATAATATAAATAAAATTCCTAATTCTAAAAACACCTAACTACACTACATCTATGTGTTGTATTCCACACACGACGCTTCGCTGTATTTCCAGGTCACGCCACTCTATTTAAGAGTTGTTCTTTTAGAGCAACATTGTTGCATTTTCTTTAACCAAAAAAAAAAAAAAACATTGTTGCATTTTTTACGTAGTAGTGCTGAACATCATAATAAAGATGGGACATTTGAATCGTTTCGTATTTTCACATGAATGTGATTGGTGACGTTTAATTGCCAAAATAGAGATAAGACAACACCATTATTGTTTTGTTGGGTGGAATGGACAACTTTAATGTGATGAGTGAAATTATTGGTTCTACAGGCTTTTTATATTCAACCCTTGTCAAGTATAGTGATCATCGAGTGTAGCAACCAGACGCAAATTAACAATGATGTCAAATCCGACTGATATTGACGGCTCATGATACTCCGCCCAAATAAATAAATAAATAAATCATTCTCACCGCATTTAAAATTGATTTCATTGGTTTCTTATTTCTTTACCCAAATAATTGAACTGAAAAATATTCAATAAACAGAATAATTAATGAACAATCCAAAGGAAACTAATCAATGGAATTCATACGATCAATTGTCAGACTCTTGATTCTTGAATATATCAATTAATTATTTTTTATATTTTATTAATAGTGAGACAAAATTCATACTATTTTTGTCAACTTAATTTTTTTTAATTAGGAATATGATTATCTTTTCGCATAATAAGTATTTTTTTTTTTTTGGGCTATTGGATAAAACTTAAAAGTGTTTTCACACCGATTTGAGGTGGTATATTTGTCTTATAAAGCTTAAAAACACAAAAAATAATAAATAAATAAATAAAGCCCTCTATTATATTTTATTGCAACCTTATATAGAAATGTATTTTAATACATTAACATATTTTGTTTTTAAGCCACAGACATCCAATTCCAAAAATCATTCCTCTTTGTGTCATGATCAAATCAAATATTTCGAAACAATCAAGTCCTTAGATTCAGTACCTGCATAACACATTGATCAACAAAGAAACAAAGAGTTCACTAATCGGCTTGCACAAGAGAAAACCACGGGAGAATAAAATCAGAGCTTTAAAATTAAAATCAAAGAAAAATTAGTTAAAACTTTAAATTAAATTTTTTCTAATTTTAAATTCAAGACGTGGATAACATACACATACATCGTTCATGAACAAGTCCATTCCTTTTGAGAAGCAAACTAGCTCTATTCTCCCTATAAAATATAGCTAATTTCGTTAGATTATTTATATATTTTATATATATACTTTCAAGAGGCATGTTTATCAGTAATTGTTCAGAAACAGGTTCTAGACTGCAAACACATTGGGAAAACATTGCAACAAACAAGTTCACCAAATAGCTTCTAACACAATGTACACTGTTCTCCTACCATGAACAACACCAAAATATAATGACTATTTTACCCCCCACGTATTTTATAAAAATTCTTACACAAAACACAATGCTGAAAAACAAGTAGCAGCAAACTGCATACAAGGCCAGTAGCCTAATACTATAAGCAAGCAATACCAGCCACTCCAAGACTTGGACAAACATCATATCTCAGCAACTAGGGTTGACTTCGGTGATCAAATTGAACCTCCAAACCATCTTATAAATTCATAAACCAGAGCCAAAGCACCTTCCTCTCAACAGCTCCAAACCCTGCACTTGAGAGAACCATTACCGAATACTTTGAATTATCTCCCCATGAATATTTCAGACCCTTTGCAGAGCAGAATAGCTCTATTCTCCGAGATAGGTATATTCCTTGGAGAAAAAAAGAAAAATGAGATAAACTTATTGACAGTTGCTCAATATGAAGCAACAAATGCATTCAATGTATAGTTTCTAATATAATGTGCCCTTTTCTCCCACCATGAACAAAAGAATTGGTGGTTTTAGGACGCAGGCTAAGACATCGCGCTATTAGACGTCTCTGCCAAATGTATAGGTTTGTTCTACTTCTCTTCACTTATATAATCTTGCAGCAAAGGGGCAGTTGATGTGGGAAGTGATTCCACACTATCAACACCAAAGTCCTCACTCATCTCTTCATTTGCTTTTCCCCACATTACAACATAAAAACCAACAGCTATTATTATCGCGCCAACAACACTGCAAAATTCAAACAATCAAAGTAAACAAATGAATTAAATGAGAAACATGAAGATAAATTAACTAAAGCCAATAGTCACTGCTAGTTCTTCAATTTCCGAATAGATTATAACGACCATAAAGAGGGGATTAATCAGTTTATTTATACCTTCCAAGATAGAGAGCCTCGCCAAGGAAAATGACACCCATGACAGCTGCAATGGCAATTGACAATGGCCTAAACAACGCAACATAGACAGGTCCCTTTGTTTTCAGGCTCCATGTGTGAACAACAGTACCAAAGGCTGATCCAACTATTCCCTATACAAAGAGACATATCTTCAATTAAAAAAAACTACTAATAAACGACAAAAAAGAAATGGTAAATCCATTAGGCTCTTACTGTGTATAATATGGAGAGCAGTGCTACATCGGCTTTTATTTTCCACGCGCTTAAGTTAGGTTCTATAATTAAACATACTGGTGTGGATATGACGGTAATACAGAGGTTGTAGAGGAACACTAAAATAAACTCTGCTGGATACTTCTTAACTGTTTGAGCCTGCAAGATGCTTCGGAATCAATATTTGAATTTATGTGCATTTAAAATCTCACCCAAGTACTTAACAAATAAACTTGGCACAAATGTAAGTTAGACCTGAATAATGTACCAAACAGCGAGTATAACATAATCAATTGCAAGGAGAAGACCACCGATGGACCAATTTGATCGTAATAACTTCAGAATATGATTGAGTGAAATGGATTGTGATATAGTCTCTGTTACAATTGCTGGTCCTGTATATAAAATCACTACAAATGCACCAGAGATCAATACTATGGTGCCAATGATTTTAGCCACTGTGCTTGGGCTTCTTACTTCCAGCCTTTCCATCCTGATTTGGGATAAATGACAAATATCTGTTACTAAATATTCCAAATTTAAAATGGACACAATCTTTTCGCTCTTTCTCAACATGAAAAAATAAAGAAAAAGAGAGAAGAAAGAAATGCAGTAGTGGTCTTGACTAGAATGACAACATAAAATTTTTCTACCTTTCTAAATATATATTCTATTCATACACACACACACACAAAAAAAAAAAAAAATTCTCTTAGGTTCATAAAAAAAAAAAAAAAAAAAAAAAAAAAAAAAAAAAAAAAAAAAAAATTCTCTCAGGTTCATACTAGTGATATTCTCGAATAATTTCCAACCATCAATATTTCAATATTAAATTATTGTCATCTTTTATCTTTGTTTATTTTTTTCTTCTTTAAGTTGAGTTTTTATCTCCACTTAAGCTAATAGCTTTGCACTCATATTTGGTTTTAAGAAAACAGTACTCTTTACTTCAAACATATACTGAAGAACCTTTTACAGTGATTAAGAAACTTTTCCTTTCAACAAAATAAGGGAAGGAGGGAGGAGAAAAATTTTACCAACAAAAATACATGATGCAACTGTTTTGATTTGAAAGTTTGATTAGATTAACTAGAGTTGACCATAATGGTTGAATTAAGGAAAAGGGTGACAATCAAATGACCCACCAACTAAATTATTTTATCAATTGGACGGTGTTCACAAGCAACCCCAAATCAACATCACCAAACACCATCATTAACACTACCACCATGGAAACAATCCAACCATCTTGTACAAAATAAGCCACCATCACTAAACATACTCTAAATTGGACTTTTTGGAGGATAACTCCAAGGGGATGGAAGAGTTTGTTAACAACCACACTCATCGGAAGAGATCTTGAATTCAATTCTCCTCTCTTGAGGCCGGCTTGTATTAAAAATGACACATTTATTGGGGTTTGTCACGTAGGAGGAGATTATTCTCACCCAATAAAGAGAGGCACACATAATATAATGATTTCAGATCGTTTCTTTCAACAAAATAAGGGAGGAGAGAAATTTTTAACCAAGAAAATTACATGATGCAATTGTTTTTGATTTAAAAGTTTGATTAGACTACTAGATTTGACCACAATATTGTGGTGAAATTGAGGTAAACGCCAAATGAAATGACCCACCAACTAGGACTTCTCCTCACTTCACATCAATAAACATCATCGCTCATCTCTAGAGCATCAACTTGTTACAAAATAAGCCGCCATCACTAAAGCATCAACTTTTATCCCCATACTTGTCATCTTATCTCTCTCTCTCTCTCTCTCTCTCGTTTAAACAAACTATATTGGATGTTCTGGAATATAACTCCAAAGGTAAGGAAGAGTTTGTTAAAAAGTACACTTAATTCGAGGAAGTCTTGAATTCGATTCTTCTCCCTTGAGCTCATTCTCACACAAAATTTTCTCAAATTATATTAAAGTTGATCCGCAAGTGGCAGGATTAGATTAGTCATCCCAAAAGAGTTGAGGCACCCTTCAAAATATATATATATATATATATATATATATATATATATAAATTTGGGGAAAAATCTATGTAAGGCACCCTTCTTTTTTTTATTCTTCTTCTTCTTCTATTTCTGTTTTCAGGTCCAATAATTTACCATCACATAGGATTACCAAAATATCCTCAATTTTCATGATTTGCCAGGATTTCTAAAGTCTAATAAAAGTGAGGACAATGTTATCTTACTTCAAATTAAGATGGATCAAAATAGAATTTCATATATGTAAAAAAATGGGTTTGTGCAGCATAAGTGGACCGGAAGATTGGAAACAAAGATATAAGTAAACAAGATTAACAGAAATACAATAGAGAGTGATGAAAGAACCTGAAAATGATGGCAAGTATAAAGGTACAAGCTGGTGTGAGATTGCTCATGGCAGAACCAAGAGTTGGAGAAGCATACTCTATCCCTTTATATCCAAGCATCTGACAAGTGAACCTGACACAGACACACACATATATATAATATTTATATATCCCCAAATATATGCAAACAATTAATTGTCAATTTTCTATAGCAATTAATTACACAATTAATATATGTATACCCAAGAACTCCAAGGAGGCAGATTCTACCCACAAGAAATTTGTCAAATGGAGGAAGTGCTGTTTTTCTGCAGAAAATGAATAACATATATGAGTTATTATATGATATGCTGTGTGTGTCTGTGTGTGTGTGTGTGAGAGAGAGAGAGAGAGGACCTGTGGAAGAAGAAGGCTAAAGGTATGAGAACAAGAGCAGAAACAGCATAAGAGTAGACTATGAAGACACAATAGCTCATCCCTTTCAAAGTGGCTGCTTTATAAAGTGTGCTTGACCCAACATTGGCACACTCCACCATAACCATGAGTGTGAATGGCAACACCTCTCTGTAACAGAACCTTCTTCCCCTGGCCATTTCTCTCTCTCTCTCTCTCTCATACACACACACACAAGTGATCTCTCTAATGTTTGAGTAGCATCATGGTCATGGATTAAGCTAGGTCAATGAAAATAAACAAAAGGAGTAATGTCATTTCAAAGACAATTTGTGGAAAACTGGAATCAGAGAATGCAGAGTGCTTATCGAATGAAAAGTAATGTGGAATATTTTATAATATTTTCCTTATCCGGACCTGTTTAATTTATGTTTATGGTGTAGGGGACTCAACAAATGGAATAATTATAATTGTCATTTTCAGACATTGTAGTGAACAACGCAATTAAAAATATCTATTAATTCCATACAAAGGGAAAGGGAAACGTTGAAAATTTCCATACCATATTATGCAGAGTATGAAGACTTTTAATTGGTTCACCCCATGAGTTAGTTTCATCATTTTTATTGCATCAACGACATTAAGACAAGGAAGTATACAATATTTTAGTAGCACGTAATACTCCTATCTAATGGAATTTCCAAATTGAGAGAGTTATGAAATCTCTCAATTTACTTTCATAGTTGATACATCAGAAATTGAGAGTTTCAAAAAAAAAGTATGATTACATAACAACCTCTTTTAATATTTGACGCATGTACTCAATAATATCCTAACATTTTTTTTCCTTGTTGAATAAATTTAATAACAATTATAATTTTGTCCTTTCTATGTATAAAATACAATATAACATATTATTATAACATAGGAGTATTACTGACTTTTCATATTTAAAGTCACTTTTTGACAATCGAAGAACAAGTTTGGAGAAGGTCAAAGCAATAAGGTCAATGTAATTAGGGATGATAATGGGCCGGTTTGAAGCGAGAATCGCCATCCCAATTTAACATGAAACCCCATCTCCGTCCAAAATCGTTTATTAACCTAGCCCCGCCGAGGGAGGGAGGGAGTAGGGGTGGGATTGAGACGGATTTTATAGAGTATTTTCGTAATTGTATTGTGAATTTAATGAAAGTAAATAATGAAATAATTTTTTTTCCTTAAATAAAACAAATTTTCAGTTATGGTAATAATTTTTTTCCTCTATTACATATAAAAACAAGATTCAACTTATCAATTGAAACTTAAGATTTAATATTATTGTAAGAACATCAAAATAATATATAGAAATTCTCAAATAAAAATAATGTAAAAGGATATATTAATGATTGTAATAAAATTAACTGGGATTTGTTTAATACGGAGTATATAACTAATATTATTGAATATATGTAAAAAAAATAAAAATAAAATTATAATTTATCACTTTAAACAGATGAAATGGAGACAAAATGTGCAGAGGTAACTCATCATCACCTTAAAACCATTTTACCGCCCCTAAGCGTTCTAAAGGCACACCCCACTCTACATGACATTACCCAATATAATGCAAATGATTAATTGCCAATAAAAAAATAAAATAATTGATTCCCAATTTCTAACATTATTATCCATTCATTGTTTTAACTTCATGAAGCCTATACATACCAAATTAAAGAATAAAAAAATGAAGCGCATGAGTTTCTTTAGATATTAAATGCTACAAAATAAATGATGGTTTGTTTTTTTCTCGGTGACTTCATTGCTTTGCTATCTTATTTCATTTTGTTGCTATCACCGAGATAATCTTTTTTACACGCGTCCAGACAAAATTAGATTGGTGGTCCACTGAATAAAAAAAAGTTGATCGATAGTTCAATACATTTATCATTTTTTTATTTTTTGTTGAGTCACATCACGGTATGTGTACGTTCCACGTAGTCGTTATATTCATCATTAGAATATGAAATTTTTAAGAACAACCAATTATGGATGGTAAAAGAGCCAGCCCACCAATTATTTTTTTTAGTCTCCTTAATTTACTTTTACACTATTTTTATTTCTTCTTTTTTTTTTTTTTTACTCTCATACATATAAAATTTTGATATTGTCCCCGTAAAATTATCCATTCTATAAACATGTCTCATTCTTATTTCATTTTTTTTCTTTACTCTTCATTTTACTTATATACTATTTTTGTTTTATTTTTTTATTTTTTTACTTTCATGCATATAATATCTTGAAATTCCCCCTATATTTCTCCATTCTATAAATATTTCTCATTCTTCTTTTATTTTATTCTTTGCTCTTCTTTTTCTTCAAATTTCTTCGATTTCCTTTAAAATATTTTGCAATCCTTTTTTTTCTTTTTCAAACACGCCCTTATTTTTTCTCCTTCAAAGTTATATCCTTTTTTCTCCCTCTTTAAAATTTCTTCTTCTTCCACCCAAGTATGATGCATGTGCAATAACATTCTCTCTCTTTCTCTTTCAATTATTTACTACTATAATTTTATGAACTTAATGTCGATATTTTATGTTTTGAAATTTATTTGTTGTATTTTTTTTTTTTTCAAATAACGACATACTATTGTAAAATTAATATATCATGACTACGTTTCTATTATTCAACTTGCTATCTTGCAACATTATTAGTTGGCATGTTAGTCAAATATATATATATATATATATATATATATATATATATAATCTTGCTCACTATGCCCCCATGACTTTATTTTCTGCCTCCGCCCTTTACTGGAACGCAAAAATTTATGCCATTTACTCAAAATTTAGGATGAAGGTTTGATGAAAGATTTTATTATGCAAAAATATGAAAATTACAGAGTTTCAGTCCCCAAAACCTAACTCTTACTCACCTCTTTCCTGCAATATTCAATGTTCGTTCTCTCGTTACCCACACCAAATTTTACGCCACGACCAGTAAATAAATAAATTCTCAAATCTCAAATTTTTATTTTTATTTTTTATTTAATCAGAACTCGAACCACATCATCAAAGTCAAAATCTGAAAATATATTTGAACAGTGTTGTGAATACTATTACTAGTTTGTAGTGGTATTGATTCCCTAGCTAAAAAGGTACTAGTTATTTTTGTGTTAAAAAAAGTCTTCTATTATGTTGGTAAGACAAACGGTTGTAGAATTGGAATTTCAAAGGGTTTGTATGCTGTCACCATCTCCATTTTCGTGTGCCAACTGCCAATCCTCTCCTAATAATAAAAATTAAAATACATGAAAAATATTATTTTTTTAATCTAGTCCAATTAGAAATGATAAGTTTTTATATCAATTATTTATCATAATTAAATTCACAAATGATTGACACGGTATAATTCGTCGTGATTCGTTATCACAATAATGCATATGTTGAATACTTCTATCCATTCAGAAGACAACAAGTGCAATGCCTTGGTACAACTTGAGTTCAAGTGCAAATTTTGAAATAAATATTAGTGTCATGACTCATGATTAAATGAAATGATAAATTGACTTGCTAAAATAATAATAATAATAATAATGAGCATAAATATTATTTAAACCCAATTTATTTATTTATTTATTATTATTATTTTGCACCTTGTTATACAAATTAGGTGGAGACTCATTTATTCAGAGCAGCTCCAATGCAGGCCTTTAAGGTTATTTTGAGCTAATTTTAACGACCCAACTCCTCCATTGTGGGTCGCTAAAATTGGGCCACTTGGGGAATGGGTCGCCGAAAACGGCGACCCTATTAGCGATCACAGGCTTGCCATGCAGGCTCGCCTCTATTTTCTTTTTCTTTTTTAATTCTGGCCCAAAACATTGTTTTGCCCAAAACACTGTTTCTAAAGTCATGTTTAGCTGAAAAAAAAAAAAAAAAAAAAAACAAACAGATTTTGGGGTTATTTTGGTCTCTTTTTTTTCTTTTCTTTTTTCTAAGAATTTATTAAAAATTTTATATGTACATACTAAATGGTAAGGGTGTTTCTTGCACTTTTTTTTTTTTTTTTTTTTTTGGCAGTTTAAACATTTTTTTTACTAAAAATTTATTAAAGTATGATCTCACTATAAAAATTTCTTTAAATAATTTCTCTACAAGTGATTTGATATACAGATAAAACACTTCTATATCTATATACCCATTAAGCTTAGTGCACGTAACCAAGGGCGAATCCAGAAATTGTTAATAGGAGGCTAATATTAAACAAGAGGGAATTGAGGATCGAAAGATTAAAGAGTTAGAAATTTTTAGAGGAAATAGGGTTAGACTTTAGAGAGAGAGAATGAGTGAGCTCTCTAATTTATGTGAAGATTAGGAATTTAGGAATTCTCTATTCTTTGGCTTAGTGATTATTTGGGCCTTGTTTGGCTTGGGCTTATTTAGTTGGACCTTTGTTTTAAAATTGTGGCTTAAATATTGGGTTTGTTTGGATGGGTTAAAATGGGGGCTAATACTACTGCTAATTATTATTATTATTATTTTTAAATATTGGGCTAAATATACCTATACTAAAAAAAAAAAAATTTTGGGAGGGGCTCAAACCCACCCAAGCCCCCTGGTTCTGCCACTGCATATAACACAACTAGGGATGTCAATTTTTACCACCCCGCTGGGGCTCTGCCCCATCCTACCCAGTTAATAACAGATATGGGAACACTTTTTATACCGTTAAGGCGGGCATGGATACAAATTTTGTACCCGTCGTAAGTCACGGGGTGAGTAAGGGTTCAATATATATATCCTAGGGGCCCCGCCCCTCATATAATTATATTAATATATATATAATATTAATAACTTATTTTAGCGGCTTACTCAATTACCCATCTTTTACAATTCTAATTTGGGATGTAAATTTGGTATTAAATTTGCTTTTGTTTTAATTATGGTAGAAGTTGGAGCTTAAAACTTCTTGTGATTTTGTTGTATTAAACTTTTATTTTTGTTTATTATGTTCTCTGAATTATGTTATGTGCATGTTATTTTTTTATTTTTGTTGGGATACATAATTTCATTTATGTTGTGCCATTCCAAGGCTTTCCACATTTAAATAGCAGGAACTTAAGTTCCAAAAAGTGGAAAAAAAATTTGTTAGCGGGGCGAGCACGGAGGCATAGAATTTTCCATCAGGACGGGGCTGGACATGAAAATCCAACCTGTCGCGGGTCTCGAGGCGAGCATGGACTTGACAAAAATTAAAAAGGGCGGGGCGGGATTTAGGGAAACCCGCTCCAAACCCTCCCCGTTGCCATCCCTAAACACAACAACCCTTCTTTCTCTCTCTCTCTATTTAAAATTAATCATTTGGAAAAGGTTACAATTCTATTTAGAGAGCTCTCTCTTTTTCTTCATATATAATTTTAGATGCGATTGAAATGTAACGACCCTCACCCTGGCCAGACACAATATTGTCCGCTTTTGACTCACCCAGACCAGAGACTTCCCAGGGGGTCACCCATCCTGGTACTATTCCAAGTTACGCTTAACTTGGAGTAGTACCAGGATGGGTGACCCCCTGGGAAGTCTCTGGTCTGAGTGAGTCAAAAGCGGACAATATTGTGTCTGGCCAGGGTGAGGGTCGTTACATGAAAAGTCACTTCAATCCAAATATTAATTAATACTAAGGATTTTTATTTTTATTTTTATTTTTTGAGTAATGTTAATAATGATAAATAAAATTATATTATGTTAATGTTTAAACTGTCAAAAAATAAAATAAAAAAAAGTTACAAAATAAAATTTAAAAAATATTGAAATATTAATATTTTTTTAGACCTAAAATATACCATTAAAACACATTCGATGACTAAAATCTAAACACTCTAAAATACGTGACTATTAAAAATGTTGAAGTGATTATTTAAAAATATTAATGTGTGAAGAGTCCATCAGAGATGCTCTCACCGAGCTACCTCAACCGTGTTTTTGTAGTCTAATGACTCTCACTCCATATCTCTCAGCCGCGTCCATTTGTTTGGGGACCCACGTCAACCAGCCAATGGAGAGCCAGCCAAAGGGCTCACATCCACATTATCGTTGACGTGGGTCCCCAATCTCTGAATAATTTTCCATGCACCAATTGTCTACTTCAGATCCATTCATGGATATTGTAGTGAATATAATTTCAGTTAATTCCATATAGAAAAAGAAAACGGAAATGGAACATTTCTCTGACTTTGTTTAATATGGGGACAAAAACAAGAAAAGCTATTACTTTAATTAAAAATTAGGATTAAGTGCAAAAATTTCTATGTACTATTGATATAATGTAAAAAAAAGTTTCCATAATATAAAACAACTCTTTACTTTTAATTTGGTGCAAATACTCTCACTTTTTACATAAAAACACAATAATACCCTCTTGCCAATTAAATTAAATAATATTTAAAAAATAAAGTAAGATAAAATTATTATTTTAGACAAAGATACATGTCTTTCAACCCTGATTGTTTAGGTGGCCCAATAGAAGAAAAAAACATGTATACAAAATTTTTATTTTTATTTTTATTTTTTATAAGCATAAATAAAATTAGTTTTAGATTCTTCCACTATCTCGAATGTTAGAGAGTTTATATAAATTAAAAGATTTTTAAATATTTTAAATGTAAAGAATTTTATAAATATATAGATATTTGTATGGAACATTCTAAAAATGAGAATTTTTATAAATAGGGTGTTGATGCTACAGGTTTAATTGGATTTTGACTCGAAAAGTGTCCTCGCATGTATAATCCCTAGAACTAATGATCTCAGTGACGTCATGATAGATGCATTAGCATACCAAGCAGCCCTGTTCAACCAAATATGTTTGGATACTTTACCGGGATCAACCACATCGTGTTGAGAGCCGAAAACAGGTGAACAATTGAATACGGAAAACAACTACTGCAATGTTTGAATTCGAATTATGTCGCCGATAATGAGTTGATACGCTCTCAAATAGTCTTTTAGTTTCAATGCTTAGATTGCCGGCTTGCATTCATCCTCGATAAGATTAAGCGAAGAATTTGAATACAAAATGATAATATCGAGAATTTGTAGAAATTTTATATCCGATATAGTTTAATTGAATTGAGACGGGGAAAGATTAGATTTGAATTGTCTAAAGAGAAAGTGACGAACTGTGATAAATAGTCTTGATGAAAGAAAGTGTTGGAAATGAATATTACGATAGAGAGAGATAGAGATGTTAAATGCAAAATTTACAGGTAATATGTGTGTTAATCTTACATATTTAATACATTGAAAAATTTAGGAGTCACGGAAAGGTCATGCCACGCACACACCATGCATGTTAGATATCTATCTTATAGGATACTGTACAATATTTTAAATTATTCTTGTGTAAATATGATATTTTGTAGAATAATTCTAGAAGATTGATTTATGCTATTAATTAGATTTAATCTTTGTCATTCATTTAGTAAGTAGGTGTCTATAAATAGAAAGAAGTCTCATTTATAATAATCAACTTATCTCAATTATGAAGTTATTTTGAATTACAATGATGTTGAGTCTTCTCCTGTTGGTTGCCTCTTAAATTGTATGCTGAGTAACATGAAAATGATATTTAGACTTCATCAGTGAGAAAGTGCAGAGAAACAAAGTGGGTTTAATGAAGCTGTGATGATAGGGGGTGGAGTGATGGATTTGATTGGAATTGCGTGGAAAGAGAGTGAAAACTGTGTTGGATAAGTATGAATATATACAGAGAAGATGAATATTACGGATAGGGAGGGAGAGTAGGGTAGCGTAACTTGACAATGTTGGGCGAGTCCGCGCTCAAGTTCGAATTTGGAATAGAAATTTAATCAAACACCTTGTGATGGTGTGCATGTTCTATGGTGGATGCGTACACCAATTTTTGTGCATTGAGACATTTTTTATGGCTTTATTTATTTTCCTTCAATTTTGCTTTTATTTTTTTTCATGAAGGAAAGTGTCATGTATTGGAAAAATAATAGTGCTTTATAAGGGGAAAAAAGTTATTAATACTGCCACCTGTAGCTCTATCTTCACTTTGCTCCGAGTACTGTATGGGTTAAACCTAATCTTGCTTGTACACAAATACATATAAACTCACCATTTATGTATTACACATATACATATAAATAAAATATATATAACTATGTTTCTAATACATATTTTGACCCCTTTGACTAGTGCTAAGCTTGGAGCGTGAACAAGAACCCATTTGATGTCCACAATGCATATCTTGCTAGAGAATTTGGTACCGTGCGTCCTTTTTATTTTATTTTTTGTGCTCACCAAAGAGCCTTGTTTACCTAGATAAAAAATCATACCCACTGCTCTAATTCTCATGCAAGTCCTCCTATTAATGCTTCATACCCATTCAAAGACATTTCAACTGCAAAAAAGTATTAATTCCATACAAGAAATGGAAAGGAAAATGTTGAAGATGACATGATTTTCTTGAATGTGTGTGTATAAATTATTGTAACACAAGAAAAGTAATTCCTTTAATGAAAAGTTATTATAATCTATAGTTTAATAACAACAAATTTATAAAAACAAATTTCACTGATTTTCAGTATGAAGCTTAATCCAACTAACTTTAATCAAACCCCCTGAATAAAATAAAATAAAATAAAATAAATCACCTACCTGCATTTGATGGAACAATTATAAGAATGTCCATAGCCGATTAAAGAAAGAATTGGAGAACTCTACTTGAGACCAGTAAAACCAACCATATATGCCAAACTCCACTCTCTGCACTCAACTGTTACCATTGCTGCAGATACAGAATGTTGAATATAACCCCTTCCCCAAAAAACAATCAAAAACAACAGCAACAGATACCTCCACAAACTAATAAATTCTGTCATCTGACAATAACGAACCCTAAAAAACTATTTTACTTCTAATTGGCCTCACATACTAACTGTGTGTTTCCACAGCTTGCAAAAAGAAAAACAAATCATTCAATTTGTACATTACTTGTCCTAGCATGACATTCATATCACAACTTCAGTCCCCAAGTAAATGCGTTATCCAATAGTTAAGATGAATACATCAGGCAACCCCCACCAATTGTGGTAATTTCAATTTTCAACCATCTGATCTTCACTTAATAATACTGGAGTATTCAATACTGTGAACAATTTCAAATATTTAAGCTGTTTCCCCAGAAGTACTTCTGTTATGTACTAGATGCAGTTTAAAACTATTGTGATATTTCTCAAACTAGAGATTAGCAATCTTGGTTTTGTTTATAAATACATTCTTACCTGTGCGATAATGGCATTGCCCAAAATTTTGGTTGGTGGTAGGGTGAAAGGAACACTGAAAGCAAATGCGCACACATCCCGACTAGCTCCAAAAGTTTTTCCGAAAATTGAACAATTTCAACTTTTTCTCCTCTTCCTTCTCAGGCTAGGCATGGCACTTAAAAATCTTACAGGTGTCATCCCAGAAACATCTTCTTTAAGATGTTCCTTATTAGTAGAGGCGTTTGAATGGTCTAGATTCTTCTCGCTATCAGATGCATCTGTCTTTCCCCCATTTTGATCCAGAGCTTTTGTTGGGCTCGAAACCAATTGAACCGAACCAATATCGTGATCAACTTCTTCAACGAAACTAGATTGATGAGAAGGATTGGGATTCTCAATGATAGATGCCCCAGCTGCACTGGAGGAAGCACATATGTCTGGGTCCTCATCTACCTCATCTTCATCCAAGCAAAATCCACCGCCCATTTTAAGGTATTCTTTAGACAATTCTACACCAAAAGAGAGGTCACCATCTTGACCTGAACCTAGTTGACCTGTTTCAGTTTCAGGTTCAGCTTCGTCCATGCAAACTTCACTTCCCATTTCAAGGTATTCCCCACACAAGCGCTCCTTAAGTGAAGAATCTCCAACTTTATGTTGGTTCTTTCCACTGGAACTAGCAGCAGCATCTCCAACCAAGTCTTGATCCCTAAAAGGCTCTTCTTGCACTGCCTCTTCATCAGAACATTTTTCATCATTTTGGTCTGATTTGCCCAGATCAACAATTTCTAAATCATCCGGAATGTATTTCACAGCCTTGTGAACCCGTGTTGACTGGAAAAATTATAGAAGAGAGAAGTTGGTGAACCAAATAAACGAGGAAAATAAAATTCAAGAATCAGGGGAGAACACTATGAGTAGATCAATATATGTTGTTTTTCTCCAAATAAGATGTTTATACAGGTATATTTGCATGTGTATAATGACAGACTCCAAGTCGAACATACAGAAACCACAAAAGCACACAATTTGCATAGCGTGAATGCTCCACCATTTTAAAGTCCCAACAAGGATAGATCCTACACAACTGCAGGATAAGATGACATCAATCACACAATCAGTTATACTTTTGACAACAATTCTTAAATAAGATAATTATCACGACAGGAGCAACTCGGCAGGTTAAATTGGTTGTTCATGTTTGTCAACCCACCAACAACACTTAAATCAGATTTCCAAATAGAACTAAAACAAGCGACACAAAGAGAGCTCAAGCCAGTTTGAACATCTTTGATTTTCCAACCAAGATATTTACTTTTATATTTTTGGCAAGATCTGGCAACCCAAACTTAGAAACAAGGAGCTCATTTAAGAGGCCGCCTACCCAGTTCAAATGTGAAAACGAGGGAATACTTTCCTCTCTTTGAAAAAGATACTACCTTAACATTGGTAGTTCCGGTTACAAAACCGGGGACTTTCGTCAGTCATGGTAGAGGGGGATTGTTTGGCCATTATGAAACTAACTCATATGTGGAATCAGTTGCGGTGATTATGGATGCTGTGAGGAAGTTTCTACATGATCACGGAGGTTTTTCGGTCACATGGATCTCGAGGTGTGCAAACACGGTAGCTGACTTGCTGGTTAAGATGGTTTTGGATAGGAAAGAGGGTTTCTATTTTGATTGTATCTTTCCCTCATGGCTGCTTGAAGCAGCAGTCGAATATGGTTGGTTAATTGTTTGTTTTAGTCATTTGCCAGGTTTAAAAAAATAATAATTGGTAGTTCGGTTGGATTAAGTAAGCAAAGCACCAATCCGAACCTAATCACCTTTGTTCTTGTGAGCATTTTTCTTCAGTTCTATTCCGAAATTCCTAACAGAAATAGCAAAATAAAACCAACAATAACTTGAAAGTACCAATTATGAGCATCTTGCAGCTTATATTATACTATTTCTTTTCCTTTTTTAATTAAGAGAAAAAAAATATCCTGGTTACTCTACAAATTCCAGACCAATAACATCCCCTCAGATTAAATTATGAAGGGAGTGATGGAGAACAGCAAAACTTACCCTTCGTATTTGATGTGAGCCCTCTAACTTTTCAACTTGCAGTTCCAGCTCACGGTCGCCATTGTTACCATCATTAGAGCTGGTCTCAGTGTATTCAGAAGCAGGGTTTATCTTCCCCCTCCCTCTTCCAACAGCCTGACCTCTGCCTTTTCCCCTGCCTCTTCTCGTTGCACTTGACCCTTTGCTGGTTTTTTGCCTGCCTTTGGTCCGCATCGGATTCAGATAATACAGAATCCCGACGGGTCATTTTTCTTGACTGCTTTGCAGTTAATTTTTCCGTGGTGTTGCTCTCATCTCTAGCAACACGATTCTCTGTTGGACTAAGATGTTTCCCTGATTTGTCATCACCAGATTCATTGGGACTTGCTCTTCTTTTTTTTCTACTCCTGGTGACTTCTTGCACAGAGTAATCCATTAACTCCAAGTATTTGTTCCCTGTTATTCCTTTAACAGCTTTTTTAACCCTCTTACAACGAATTTTTGCAAATCTCTTGTTGAAAGTGTAAAATGCTTCCAACGGCAGTTGAGTCTTTCAATCAATCAGGCCAAGAAAACAAGAAGAAAATATAGAAGATGTCAGCATCAGCTTCCTTTCATGCTAACATATAGAAATTAAAGAAACAGCCAAATCTCAAGTCCACATAGGGGCAAAGTAGATGTGTAATTTCAAATCATAAAAAAATGAATGACCTATATGATCTATATCATAGATCGAATCAAGAAATTTTGGAAAACACACCCATGCTTAAAGACTTAATTTAAAGTCATAAATAAAATATATGAAAATTTAGGCATTCGTGCAAAGTGCTCCTCTCATTCTTCCTTTTATATTTGCTTCACTAACAGTAAGGATGCAAAACTGAAACAAATGTGACCTGACCACTTCGACAGTGACAACAATTAATCAGAGTGGGTATGGATTATGGCATTTCTATAGGTAGTGAAGACCAACAAGATTAACATTGCTAAGGTAATAGTCATACGTATCAAGTTGTTCCTTATTCTTTACTACCTAAAGGTGGCAGAGGGTTGAGAGAGAGAGAGAAAGACCAACCTCATGTTTGTTGTACTCCTTCAAAACAGGAAGTAGCAGCTCGTCAGCCTTCTGGCTACCCCAACCAAACTTTTCCCAGCACAATCTGTATGAAATGAAGTCAATTAGACCATCAAGCATTCTGCATTTCTTCCATAAAGCATGAAAGTAACACCATTTGTCAGTGCTGCATTCTGCTAAGTTTGAAGTAACATGATCCTTCTTCGATGAATGTTTTGGGCAATTTATATGTTTTGCTCTCTCAAGACCAGGATAAATCAACCGCTACTGAATACATGGAAAAAGGTAGAACAAAGAAGCAGTTTCTACAGCTATTTACCTAGTGTTATTATCAAAACATCAAATTTAAGCAAGGAAAAATCTTCAGTGCACACAATTTGCATATGCAGAATTGACTGCTTCACTTGGAAAAGAAGAAGGAATATGCCAGTTTTTGCTCACTTTTCTCTGGGTAAATAAATTTTTTAAAATTATAAACAATGAAAAAGAAGTGACATCTGATTCTTTCATGGAAATTTAAAACTGAAAAGGAAAAGACAATGGTTGAACCACTTTATTACATGTTTATCCATGAAAATCTGCTTTGTGTTTTGATCTGAATCTATGGAACGCGAAACATTATGGTTAGCTGTGGAATCTCCTTTGCATTGCTATTTGGGCAACTCACGTCGATGTTGCTAACTTTGGACCCTCTCTTCCTCGAACTTGATCCTGCTTACACATTGAATTTTCCAAGGATGGTTGGATCTGGAGATTCAATCCACTCCCGGAATTTTTGGAGGCCATCTTCCTCGGGAAATCCATTTAGAACTTCAATAGCCTTGACAATGCCGATACCACTAAGCCACAAACAACCCATAGAAGGTCATGTTAAATCCATGCATTCAGTATACTTAACAAATATATTTAGCACCACTACAGCTGCTTATGAATAGGCTTACACGTCTGCTATTGACAACAGTAAGGAATTAATAGCACAATGAATCTCAAATGAGGAGACCTACAGAATGAACTGGCATTAGGGAGACTAGGTAGAGAGCCTTTGTGTGTGGGTGGGCGGGGGATGTTCAGAATTTATATAGGGAACAAAAACAAATTGGAAATCAATAGAACATGACAAATAGAATTATTCATAATCGAAGTAGCCAAACCTCCAACTATTACCCACCTTACACCTTCAGTATAATCACTCCCAAGAAGAAGCGCCATATGGATTAAATGTTCTCAGGTTAAGCCAAGCTCATTCTCAATGTCCTGACAAAGAATTAGATGGGAATTAAATAAGCTGTGACACCTTCTACATCCCCCGAAAGAAAGAAATGGAAAAAATTATCTCTTGAAAAGATCAAAGCATATGCCAGAAAAGTAATTCCAAAGAACTGGAAAACAACATATAAAGAAAAAGATCATATCCAACAGAAAATGATAAAGAAAAAGATCATATCCAACAGAAAATGATCTCTATGAAGAAAGAATAATGAGCAAATACTGCTCCATAGCCAGGCTTTTAATCAAGTTAAAAATTATCCGCTGCCCTCTTTTAAGGCTACATGAAATTGAGTAGACCCAGAAACAGGATCTACAAAACTTGTCAAGATGTGAAATTAATAGTAAGAAAATTTTGTGGTAATGAATTTGTTTTTCAAAAAAATTCTGATTAGTTGAATAAAAAAAATAAAAAATAAAAGAGCATTTATTTAATGCCTCTGTTATGGAATTAAAGAAGAGAGGAAAAATTACTCTGGGTGTGTGTGCATTTGCTTGAACTTTCAAAAAATAAAACTCTTATTTCTTGGGGCTCTTGCCCAACTAAATTGGATCTAAGAATGGGAAGATCAGACATAGAGACAAGTGCTCACATTATGGGTTAAATCCTAATTAAATGAACAATTGCTGGTTTAGCTCAACAATTGCCATCAATAATACATTTGCCTCTAATTGTAATTCCTGTAAGCTGTGTGAATTTGAGCCACTGTAAGAGACCAGATCCCCAAGATGCCAAGTCTGTAGGTGTGATAATCTTGCCATCCAGCTGCAAGAGAACACGGAAAAAGTGATAACATAGGTTCAATTCTGATAGTGATCACTTCGTAAGAAATAATATCAAAACATCTCTATTGAATTAAATGGATAGATAAATCTACCCACATTCTATTAGTTCCTAGCCAGGAGTGTTACAAGGTTGATTATACACAGGCCGGTTCAAGAACATTTTACAGAGAAAGAGAATTAATGGGTAGTGAGATTTCAGAATTTTAAGCATTTTGTCTATTGATTATGGTGAAAAACCACTTCAATTACAATCGAGATCATATATACAATTTAGAAAAATCACTTCAATTACTATTTACTAGGTTATTTAGAAGAATCCAACTGCGCTAAGGTAAATAAAAATCTCGACCCAGAAGGAGATATATGCTTCTTCAATTTCTTTTAATTTTCACACATTTGGGAAAGAAACAGAAGGGGCAATAACTAAGAACAAAAAGTGCTTTTGCAGTGCCTCAGCAATTAAAAGAGGCCTCAGTCAATGATGCAAGTGCCACTCCACCAACAATTGGTACAATAGAATAAACTATCCAGGGAGTAGGAATTTGTTTCAGCAGGATGATTAGAGGGAAAAAGTTGAAAACAACTCATACAACAATGAGTAATTGTCAATATAAAGGTACAAATCACTGATTTATCAATGGCTCTAAGCCTTGTAGGCTGAACTATTGTCATACAGATCAAATCTGTGACCATATAGATTGGGATTGTTTCAATGGCTTTAAGCCTCCCGCCCAGATGTATGTATCCTAGTGCAACTCTAGGTTGAGTCTATAAAAACAACCGAACCACCAACCCTGATTGCTGATTCTACAACTACTTTGCCTCTAACACCATCTAATTAGAACACTTGAAAACTCATATTAAAAAAAACTAATCTTCCAGAAACAAACCAACCAAAAAAAAACTAGGAAAAAAAAGTTACAGAAATAAAGATGATGATGAAGATTTAACCAAAAAGATACGAAGTCATGCATCTCAACGGTATATTGTACTATTATCCATACTTGTTCAGAGTTTAAAAGTGACTAAAAATGAAAAAACAAGGCAAATCAAAACCTGGGTTCTCAAATTAACTTATGTATTGCTAAGAAAAACAGGAGAGTAAATTAAAGCCCCATCACTGCCTGTACATGAAGATGTCTCTATTATCACCAAGTGATTTCTTAGAGAGAGAACAAGCTTCTAAGAAATGGGGTTGTTATTCTTCAAATCTGCCACTAAAGAACCTTCCAGATCTTGGAGAAGCGAAGGATAGTCTTCTCAGACTACTTATTCTCTGTGACGCAGTACTATGATACTTACTTTCTACCGTTCCAAAAGGCATGAACAAAAATGTTGCTGTACTTGATCACAACTGGGCAATCAAATGCACTCTAAACATAAGGTAGAATGAGTCAAATAAGAGATAAATATAACCACCACCAAGAATGTAAGAAACTGTAAATTTTTAACAATAAAGAAATAAATCTGATCGTAAACAAAAATTTTCCTGTTAGTTCATAATGATCTTAGAAACATCATCACCATCAAAGCATCATCATAGCTATATCAATATATAGATTAGCATTTTTGTAAACTGGTATATTTGGCATTAATGGGTAAAGTAAATAAAACATCCTTATAGTTTTCATTTTGGGTATATAAGTCCATTAAAATTTAAGAAATGTAGTAAAGAACGGCTTATCTGAACTGATCTGTTAGAAAAGTACCATCAATGCACATGACTAATTTAAGCTATTAAATACCCAAAACATCCTTTTTGTCTCCCGAAAATGCTCTTATCCATTTCCTAAATAAATCTCATCCCTCTCCCAACCTCCCCCCCTCTGGGGTATCTCTCTCTCTACTCCCCCACCATCTTTCTTTCTCTCTCTACTCCCAGTTTCTCTCTCTCCCAGCATCAACTATAGAAACCCATTGAGGACATATGCACACACAGAGAGAAATGGATAGAAGAAAATAAGAATAAAACCCAGATCAAACCCAGGGAAATGTACATACATAGAAAATGAACAGAGATAGGGAAAATTGTGAATTAGGGGTAGAGACTGGTTTTCTCTACCACTAGCATTCCCTGAGGAGTCAATTAGAGGAATACATCTAAGTTTTGTTCTGAGATATAGAGTCAAGGAAGAAGAAAAGGCCGAACATTTTGGGATGTTGCTGCTGCAGCCAGAGGAGAGAGAAACGATGACTGGAGATGAGAGGGAACCATGTTTTTGAAACTGACTTGAATCGAATCAGAGGTTTCACCAGAAAATGTGGAAGGATCTCCACGATCAAGTCCTTGTTGCCGACGATACATTCACCAGCCACGGATATTTGGTCCCGCGATCTCTGCTCATTCCGGCAACTTCTCATGTTAGAAGCCATTCACTTTGTCCCACTACTCTCATGCAAAGAGGCCATTTCCTTGGTTTGAACCTGTAACTTCTAGATTGCAATGGAGCAACCTTACCAATGCGCCAAGGCTTGCCCTCACAATAATCCCATAATGTCCACATTGCATCAAATTTAAATTATTTAACAAGCGTTACATATTCTTTCCATTTTAGAATAAATTCATAAAACTAATCTGCAATGGTTTTACTCTCTATATTGTGTTCTGCTCCCTCTCTCTGTAGCTATAAATTGTGCAATTCTAAAGCACCCATTTGGAATTTTGGATTGTCTTCACAATGCTTTTCTTCACTCAACTCTCTGTGTCACCCATTTCAAGCCCACCTCAGCCTCTCAAGACACAATCCAATCTCAAGATATAGCTTCCAGTAGTGAGTACCTCATGAATTTTTCCACTGGAACTCCACGTGTTAACGTGGCATTGCTGATACTTCAGGAAGGGATCTTACAAGCAAACCACTCTGTTCTAGAATCAAAGTCATGATTTACAAGGGACCAAAAAAGACATCACTAAGACTGCAAACTCTATAAATGTCACCCCCTTACACAAGGGTGTGATTAAAAAGGTTTAAAAGAATACTGGAACAGCAGTCCATTGATAAAAAGAAATGGCAGCGTGTAATTAAAAATTTATATAAAATTTAATACTAGTGGGATTGAAGCAAACCAAAATTCTTTGGAAACTAAACTCGAAATGCCATAATTCTGAAAATTTCCAAAATTTTCTGGGATAAAAAACAGATCTAAAAAAATAATCAAATAATCCAAACAGCAACCAGCGAAAAATATGGGTGGTAGCACTACCACATTTTTCTAAAAAATATTTACTGGCCCAAAGATGATGAAGTTAGGCAGAAAATACTCAAGACTCATAAATCTACAAGCAGTAAAATTTTCAGAACATCTTGAGAATAGGAACACTAGGAAAAATGAATTCAAACTTACTCCTGCAGCATACAAAATATCTCAAAGTCTGTCCCCAATGTGAATAAACTAACTGATATAATACCCAACCGATTTAAAGTGAATTAAATAACTATTATAGACTGAACCTTAAGCTGTCTCAAGTTTAAAACCTCACCAGCAAATTCGCCACATAATTTAAACATAGAAAATAGAGGCTACCAGGTTCTAAACTACTTATACCAATACTTGTCAGAATACTAAACATGCATCTCATTACAACAAAATTCATCATGCATACAGGACATGAATAAGCTCATACAAATAAATACCTAACATAGGACCTTAACACAGAAGAACTAGTCAGGTTTAAGGTTTTAAAAACAAGGGAGTGCCAATGCGATTCATCCTAGTTTAGCTCTATACACTTTCACATAAATTATTCCAATACAAAACAGCAAAACAAGTCCCTCTAGGGAGACAATAAAGCGTATTTTTTTTTTAATACACCAACTTACAGTATGTGTAATCATTTGGTAATAAAGTTTTACCAAACAGTTCATTTCCAAAAAAAAAACCAACAGCCCAGGATACAAAAGAGATACAGTATTTATAGAACAAAGAGATAAGTTTAGCACTTCATAAAATGTTATGCTTCATAAATATTTACATAATTACAAGCCAAGGCAAAAATATATACCAAGCTAACATCTTCAAGCATGAACGCAAAACATTGTATTCCACTCAAAGGAGTTTCCATTCACCGAGTTCAAGTTCTTCATTTAGCATCAGTACTTCCGCCAACTCGGGTGTCATTACCTGAAAATATAAAGGGTGAGACGACTCCCAATAGAGAAAGACTAACAGTCATCACTATGAGTTTTTAAAATGAACCATTTAATTTTTCAGGATAATCTTTATTATAAATACATGTCAATCTTCAAAATTATAAAGTAAAGTCATTTAGCTTTCAACTATAGTTTCAAAACCAAATTTTCAGATTTCATTTCCACCAAAATGAATTATGTCTATCAACCATGGTAAATTTCAAAGGAAATTCACCGGCCAGCCGACCTTTACACCGGCATGGCCCCAACCTTGATTTATAAAATCAAACCAAGTAAATGGTGATTCCCCGAGAGAAACCAGTGACCAACTTTTTGCACTGGCGTGGCCCCAACCCTCAATACCCTCCAAGGGTCTACCATTTGGGTTTCGGGTTTTTCACCCAAGGGCCAAGGGTAGCTCGTACCCTACTTGTCTCTTTAAAGAATTATACTCAAGGGCCGCAGTCCTAAATTTCTGATTCACCAACAACATTCCCAATCTTCACAGTTAGTGAAACCCAATTAGGAACATTTTCTTTAAATCTAAACCCAAGTTGCAGATCAAGAATTTTCTTTTTCTTTTCATATAACATTTCTTGTCTAAAATCAGCAGTGGAGTAATCAGGTAGAATGCGGTAGAACAATTGATGATTAAATTCCTGTAAATAATCATGCCCTTTTTACATATATAAAACTCATATAAGAATAATGCAAAACAGATCTGCACTTAGTTAAGCAGGCCAAGGTATATAGATTGAAATAGAACCATAGTTGAAGAAAAATCAAACCAATTTAAACAAAGAATAAAAATGCACTCAAAGTGAGTAAAAGTCATGGTCCTTCCCTTCTCTCCCTCTTGGCATTGGTATTTCCCTACCTCTAACGAAATTCCAATGCGGACCTATGGATTTCCCTTAGTTTTCCTCATTTTCTTTCTTCTTTCATCTTCCTCTCTCTCTCTCTCTCTCTCTAAACTCCCGGCCAGAACTCTGGTTTCTCTATTTTTTTCTTTGATCTATTTTCTTTTCTTTCTATTCTTTACTTTCATTGGTTGCTCCTTTCATCACTAGTGTAAGATACCATTTACAGCTGTAAGGAACTTAACATAAACATGGCTTATGCTATTGCATGGAGAGGACACATGTCCTCCATGCTTTGACCAAATCTCAATTTACCCCAAATTTCCTTTTATTTCCACTTTCCTCCACCACTACTCATTAGTAATTTTCTTGTCACTGTAATTAGTTTTCCCCCACACTTTCCATATAACTACCAATGAGTACAACATAAATTACTAATTGTTTTATCAGGTGACATTTAATCCAGTGACATGATTAACTAGCCTAAATAAAAAAAAATTAGGGTAGTACAATAAATCAATCAATTTAATAATTATTAAGATAGAAAATGAAACTACAATAATCCGAAATAGTTACAATCTAAGTGATCTATGAGTACCATAAAACAAGATAAAACAAGAAAAAGTGTCGACGAAATAGATGGACATATAATTGTTCGGACCAGTGACAAACAACCAGGATTTATGCTACACCAAGAAGTTTCTTGAAAGTGCCAAATCATGAAGCTTTTAATTAAAACTATTATTCCTTGGGCATTGCCCCTTTCCCAGCATAGTAATGTCATTTTATTTTTCAGTGTCCTCATCAGCTTCTGGCATCTGTTTCGCAGACATGCCTTCTAAAATTTTCAAATTAGGGATCTTTTTTCTTTTTAAGTTAAACATGTGCAGTGGTGTCGTGTCTTATAAATTCTTTTATTTATTTATTTATTGGAAATTAAGTATGTTGGATTAACTATTGTACATATATATATATATATATATATATATATACAAATTAAAGAGGGCCATAGCCCCTGTACATTATGCCATGGGCTGAAACTATAACAAAAACATAGCCCTGGGGAGAAAAACTAATAGCAATAGTGATATCAACAACCCTACAAAAACATAGCTAGTGATCCTTTAACTGCTATAGGATGCATATTTGCTAACCATTGGGGCACAAGGCAATTGTGGGAAATTAATTAAAGTAAAAAGATCAACATTTAAGATGATCATCTCCAATTTCATTGTGAAATCTGGTACATGATAATAAAAGTTGTCTCTCTTTCAATATTTTCTTCTCATAACAATTAGTGTTCTGCAAACCATTTCCAAATTCAAGAGCAGCATATCGTATTTTTCCCTCAATAAGGGCATGCATTATATGAAAATGGACAATAAGATGCAATAAACAAAATCAGTAATAATGTAAACTAAATAAATTTCAAGATTGAAGTTGAAGCTACGCTAAACATTGAAATATTGACCGCCCAACCCAAGTGACTAAAATGTGCCATGAATCAAACGGGAAAGAGTGTCTCAATGTATGGATGGATAAGACAATCAGGATATTGTGCTAAACCATGACGCTTCTTAAAGGTTTGCTAACCATTGGGGCACAAGGCAATTGTAAGGAATAAATTAAAGCATAACAATGAAAATTTAAGATGATCATCAACTTTATTGTGAAATTTGTTTTACGGTAATAAAAAATTATCTCTCTGTCAATATCTATTTCTCATTACAATTACTTTTATGCGAACGACATCTAAAACGAGGGGCAATGTTTTGTATTTCCCCCAAATAAGGGCATCATATCGAATTGGATCTAAGACGCAATAAACAAGATCACACAACAACAAACTTTCAAAGCCAACCAAATTTAGTGTTAATAAATATATAAACAAAATAGATTTAAAGATTTAAGTTGAAGTTACAAACAACTGAAATAGTTACTCCCCAACTCAAGTGATTGAATATGTACCTTGAATCAAACAGAAAAAAGTGTCTCAACTGACGTGACAGATTATGTGTCGCTGAGCTGCCGTGACAGTCTGCTGAAGTGGTGGATGATGTGGCAGGAAAGGCACACCTGTGGCAGATGACGTGGATGCAATTGTGTCAGTTGATGTGCCGCTATGATAACGAGGCCTATGCGTAGGCGCATATGTGCTGTGTGCCATTTATTCACTTAAATGCAAGTACAGAAAGTGAGTTGGTGAGGTGATATTTCAATAATTCACCTTCAACTCTTTCTGAACAATCTAGTACATGCTGAAATTAATTGTTTATGCACCTTTTGAAATTGTCAAGTTGGTCTTGTTTCCACTTTTATATATATATTCTAGTTAATACTTACACACTCCCTCCACAAAAATTATTTATTTAGAGGCTCAACCTGATCTTGTTTGTACTATTTTTATAAGTGGCAAAAGATCTATGTCCAGAGACTCTACTTCAACATGACCCTGGCAATTACACCAATACACTGGCCAGCTCCACAGCCTTCTACTTCAACTTCCTTGCCCATACCTGTATTTCAAAGTGATCAAACTGGGAGTGATTGTGTTTCATCATTTGATTAACTAACGAGAGAATTATCATCATATTCAGTACTCAAAAATGCGGTGACTTTCTTTAGTCATTGCAGGGATTCAGCACTAGATGTAATTGGACCTGAAGCAATTGCAAGCATATAGGTGTTGTAATGTACTAATAAATTTATTTTGAAGATAAATGCACTGTTTCTTTTCTTTTCTCAATTTATAGATTTACTTCAGTCATAGGGAAGAACATATGTACTGGGAAAAAGAAGGGAATAAAGAAAATGAACATTAGCAGGAGAGATTTAAAGAAGAACTAGTTAGTCTACAGAGATAAGTACAAAGTATGGAAATAAAAAGCAATTGGAAATTACCCATATCCATTGTGGCTTTGACGACATATTTATACCACAGCTTGAGGAACAAAATACATGCATGTCTTTGGTCGTTGTGGAATGACCACATCCAAAGGAATAACATGCACGCAAGAAATTTTCAAAGACACTATATAGTGCAGGCCTCATCAAGCGCATATATATATATATATATATATATATATATATATATCATCATCATCATCATCAGGCCTTGCAGACATTGACAGCATTTCCTTTTGAAGGATAATCAGCATCGGAACTCTTCATTTCAGCCTCAGAAACACGTTTTCACTCTTGTAGTCTCACCCAATATTGTGGAGAGACACCACTGCAGTGTTCATTTGTCAGGTTAGGACTAGGCAGTATACCTCTTGAGCTGAACAAACTCTAAATTTCAAGTAAATACTTCTTTTTTCTTGATTTGAAATTAGAACCATTATGTTACTTATCTATTCATGAACAAATTTTTGTTATGTTCTGATTGAATATCTTAGAATTTTCAGAATTTAGAAAGTAAGGCATTCCGACTAGATTGATTCCAAATTGATACCCAAAACTATCCCTGTTTATTTATATACATGACACTCTCTATAGAAGCTGCCAACTTTTTGACATGCTGCATAGAAATACTAGGGAACTGCAAGGGCAAAGCTATCAACAACAAAAAATATTTAAGAAAAAATGTTCATATGGTTCTAATTGAAGAACAGATGACTAGAACATCGACCAGTATGAACTATCAAAGATTTTCAGCTAGAGATATTATAGCAGATATATATCTGTGTGAGTGTAACATAATAGTTTGTGGGTGAACTTGTACTGTTGAAACACATCACCATGTAGATTGCTGAAAGTCAGAGTTCAAGCAGGCCATGCTTTTGTGGAGAACGAGAATGAAATGAAGCTGCAATGCAAATATCTTATGTTGGCTCTCGGCTCAAGAGGGCCATGCAGAAAAAATGTTGGTAAGAATATCAATAATTTCTAGAGCATGTGTAGCAGAAATTTTCAACGCAAGAATTTTTCAACTAGTGAGAGCATTATCGTCACATTGAGCCCTAAAACTGTGATGGCTTTCTTTAGCCATAGCAGTGATTAAGCACTGTTGTTACCCAACGACAATATAGCGACAACTTCTCATATGAGATTCCCATATCAATTAATATGGGACATGATGGATGAAATTTATATTTTTTTCTCAGTTAGTATTTGATTATGAGAATTTTTTGCTTGGCAACAGGCTGTAATGAAAAAGTATGTTTTTTTTTTTTTTTTGGCCATTTTTTCAATATTCTATTATGAATTCTTTGGCTTAGAAAGACTAATACAGATTACCTCAGAGAGGAGAAACTTTAACTTTGCTGTCTCAAAAAAGCTGGTCACTGATGGCATTTTAGGTTAGATAAGGCATAGCATTTTAGCTGTTAAAACAATGGAAATAGCATATTGGAATCATTTATTTTCCCAAAAGTAAATATAGATGTTGCTGATAGGTGTTGAATATATGAAGTTGGAAAGAGTTACAAAATTTACATGGAAAAGGTATCTTATGTACAAGTTCTCCAATTCATTTGACATTCATGGCAGCAGAACAATCAGAATTTTATCCCAAAGAGACTTGAGCATTGTGCTTCAAATTTGAAGATAAATGCACTGATTCTTTTCTTTACTCAATTTATAGATTACTTTGGTCATAGGAAAGAACATATGTACTGGGAAAAATAAGGGAAGAAAAAATGAATATTAGCAAGATGGATTTAAAGAACTAGTTAGTCCACAGAGATAAGTACAAAGTATGGAAATAAAAAGAAATTGGAAATTAACCATCTTCATTGTGGCTTTGACCACATACTTTTACAAAATCTTGAGAAAAAAATACATGCATGTCTAGTGAACTATGGTCGTTGGGGAACCACCACATCCAAAGAAATAACATGCTGGCATGAAATTTTCGAGACAATATATAGTGCAGGCCTCATATCAGGCCTTGCAAAGATTGACAACATTTCCTTCTGAAGGATAATCAGCACTAGAATGCTTCATGTCAGCTCCAGAAAATGTTTCCACTCCTGTTGCCTCACTCAATATTGTGAAAGGACACCACTACAATGTTCATTTGTCAGGTTAGGACTAGGCAGTATACCTCTTGAGCTGAACAAACTTAGTATATCAAGTTAAATCTTTGTTTTTTGATAAGTAGAATATCAAGTAAAATCTTAGCATCTGTTTTTTTTTTTTTTGAAATTAGAACCAATATTTTACTTCTTTATTCATGGAGATATTTTTGTTATTTCTTGATGGAATATCTTAGAATTTTCAGAATTGGGAAAGTTAAGACATTCCGACTAGGCTATCCCTGTTTATTTACATACATGACATTCTCTATAAAAGCTGCCAACCTTTTCTGACATGTTACGTAGCAACACTTGGGGACTACAAGGGCAAAGCAATCGGCAACAAAAAATATCTAAGGAAAAAAAAAAAAAAAAAAAAATAGACTAAATAGTTCTAATTGAAGAACAGATGACTGGGAACATAAAGCAGTATGAACCATGGTTGTCAAAATCGCGATTCTGAGTCGTAGAATCTCACGATTCTACGACTCAGAACTCAAAATCGAGTCAAATCGCAGCAAAATCGTTCAATTAGTAGAATCGGGGGTAGAATCGGTAGAATCGGGGGTAGAATTGTAGAATCGGAGGTAGAATCGTACGATTCTACACGATTCTACCGATTCTACGAAATTGGTTGTTTGGGCCTTTATTTTTTGGTTGGTTTCTTCCGGGCTACAAAATAAAAGAGGCCTGGCCCAAGTGTAGTATACAAAGTTAAATATTTATTACATAAAATATAAATTATTTTTCATTAGTGGCAGAAAAAGAAATATATATATATATGTATATATATCAATTATTTTTACCATGTATGTTGATGTTCCATTATATATTTTTGTGTTTAATTATAAAAAATTAAAATGATCAATTATATCTCAAGGATGCATACTCGTGACTAACAGGTTTAGGCAAATTTTGGTTTCATTTGACTATTTTTATTTTTTGAAGGCTTATCATATATATTAAAAATTAAAAATAATTTAAAAGCTTAAAAGACTTGCCGAATATGTCAGCCAATGTATAATCTTGTAGTCTAAACTGATAATCTAATGAGATCAAGTTAACGCGTGGTTCATATTTTGTTGTGCTAACTCTTGATTAATTTCATACTTGTGACTAATAAGGTCACATACACCGTAACACTTGGATTGGTGGACAAAAAGGTCTTCTTATTTCTTCAGTTTTAAAAAAAAAAAAAATGGGTTTACTTTTGATATGTAATTTTATTTTCTAACTTTGGAGATGGATGGGTTAAGATTTGAGATTTCTAAACTCATGTTATTTTGAGCTAAATTTTCTTTTATTTATATTCGGACTTTGAAATATTGTTAGGATTTGAGATTTGTGAACTCATGGATGTGTAATATTGTGTGTTTTGGCCTCATTTTTGTTATATTTTACAGATCTTATTATTTAAGAAGTTAGTTTCAATTGTTTTTTCACAATTTGGTAGAATCTCACGATTCACGATCCGATTCTACGATTCCGATTCTACGGAGCCCAAAACGATTCTACGTAGAATCCCGATTTTAACAACCTTGGTATGAACTATCAAAGATTTTCAACTAAACATATTATAGCAGATAAATCTATCTGTGTAAGTGTGACGTAATAGTTTGTCGGTGAACTTGTATTATTGAAAGACATCATCATCGTAGATTGCTGAAAGTCTAGAGTTCAAGCAGGCCATGCTTTTGTGGAGGACAAGAATAAAATGAAGCTGCAATGCAAATATCTTATTTTAGCTTTTTATTCAAGTGGCCAATGCAGAAAATATATTTGGTAAAAATATGAATAATTTCTAGAGCATGTGTAGCAGAATTCTTCAAAGGAAGAAATTTAGTACCTCTGTTTCTTCATCCCAAGGATTTAGTGCCAGGACTAACAGTTCAACTTCATGATAAGATAGCGATCCATGCATCTATCACTGGTGAAAGTTAATAGCAAACGGACGACTGACGAATGGCAAGACAATCTTCTAAGGTCCATTGGTCAAGCACTCTTTCAGAGAAATAATGCATGCCATAACTGCTTTGCAATAGTGAAAGAAGTTGTAAGTTGCACTTCTTGCTGCATTAGATATTCAGATCCTCCAAAGGGTGGTGAATTAAGTCAAGGGACATCAGGTCAAGCATAGCATGTATTTATTTGTGCTCAGTATGGGAGTGATACATTTCCAGAGACAAATTCTTTTACCTCCCCATCCACTTCTATTGTACTGCATCCTGGTGTTTTCTTGAGCCCTTTATGACCGATTATCCTGCAAATCCTACCCGCATCTTCACACCTCTGTGCAGCTAAATAAATGTTTGATAACTGAACTTAAATTCCATCGTCTTCAGCTCTATCATCAGCTACTATCCATAGAAGCTCTTTGACATCAAGCTCTGCGAGATCAACGTTATTATGGATTCGGCAATCACTCAGTAAGGAACCCCAGACAGAAGCAAGAGGCTTCATAGGCATCCTCTTTATGAGATGAAGTGCTGCATCTAATTGACCTGCCCCGCAGAGCAAGTCCACCATGCAACTATAATGCTCATGTTGGGCTAAAACACCAAATTCAGTTTCCAAGTTGTCTAAAATAAATTGACCTTAGATCTTTTTTGAAGCCCTGCATCTTTTTGAAGATCTTTTTGAACCCCTAAACGAGAACAAGCTGTAATCCCAGTAGTCACACAAAATTCATCAGGCACAACTTCACACAACAACATATGCCGAAAAACATTCAATGCCTCCAAAGCCAAACCGAATCATAGATACACTTACAAGAATGTTACACTGAACGTCATCTAAGTTAGATATTTCATCAAACACCTTCCGGGCATCCTCCAAAGCTTTACATTCAGCATAAAACCTAATTAACGCAGACTGTACATGACCATCCGACAACGCCAAACCATTTTCACCACCCAATTGTGTATTTCCCTACCAAGACACACCTGCGATGCATTACTGCAAGCAATGAGAACGAACGGGAAGGTGTGGTGATCGGGACACATAGAGGAGTCCTGCAACATGATATGGAAGTAATGCAGAGCCAAGCAGGGCTGAGAACTGAAAGAATAGGCTCTGATGAGGGAATTGTAGATAAATGAATTGGGGAATGGATATGGGTGAAGGTGAGAGAGGCGTAGGAGAGATTGCCCGCGTCGGAGAGGGCACAGAACTCGAGAAGCTTGCTGATGGCATAGTTGTTGTGGTTGAGGCCGTGGGTGATGAAGATGGCTTGGTGCAGTGTTGTGCGAGAGACATATACCACTTCCATGTTTTGATGCTCATGTGTGTCTCTGTGCATTATCGTGGTTGAGTGAGCTTGAGGAGCACTGGTGACTGGTTAAATTTTGGGTTACATTAGTAAGACCAAGGCCCAAGGGCCGTTATTTCACTTATTAAGGGGCTAATCAGTAAATTCATAACTTCCCGTGGCGCCAAAATCCATTTTAAAAACTTATGTTTAACTGATTTTGCAAATAATTTAGAAACTAATGTGAAACAACAAAATAGTTTTGTGCCCACCATATAACCCTCTCCAAACCCTAGAATGGTGGGTGCTCTTGTTGGGACATGTTTCAAAATTAGAGGCTTGTTTCTTACACGTTTTGTTTTTGATTTTTTTTCCCCTGATGAAAATACTGAAATTAAACTTTATTTATGTCTTGTGTATAGATACATCACCTAGAAGATTATTTAATTTTCTTTATAATAAATAAAAAAAAAGAGCAACTACACGCCTTTGAAATTTGATTTGAAATTGACATACTTAGTTTGTTTAAAATATAATTATTGAAAAAAATATTTGCTTGAATTTATATATTACATATTGGATCGTTTTGTTTGGCAAAATTTTGCTTGGATTGAAATAATACTAAAAGATATAATAGCGTGGAATTTAATTGATATCACGATCTTCAAAATGGTAGTGGTAATAAACCACTGGGGTTCTTCAGTCATGTTCACGTTAATTATGGCAGCACCTGTTTGTTTTTTTTATTTTTCAAAAATTCAATGCAAATACTTCTATGTACAGTACTACTTTACCAATGATTTTTTTGTCGTTGGACATTGTCAGTTACATTGTTTTCCAAAACAATGTTGAACTATGATAATTGTATAAAGCAAAAGTGTAAACAAACCCATTCAACTATCACAAATCGACAATTTACCCTTTTGAACTACAAAAATAAACAAATTAGTACTATAACTATCCAAATCGTGCAAATTAACCCCTGAAATGCAATTCCGGCCCACAAGGTAGCCACGTGACTGTCTTTTTCTTTTAATTCCGAAATTGCCTTGTAATATTACCATTGTAACCCTTTGTCTATATGTAAATATATATATATAACAAGCACAGGCAACCTCGCCGTTTCAGCGCCGCCATTAAAACATTGGAAATTGGGGGTCCACGGTGGAGGTGGTGGTTTGGGCGAAAAATTGGGATGGGATCGAATACAAGCTTGTCGGAGGAAGCCAGACGGTGATGCCAGAATAGTCGCCTCCACGTGAAGTGGCATAGTCTGGTCGTGATTACGACGGTCGGCGTCGGCGATCGAGTGATTCAATACACTCGCCGCCTCTAGCAAATTCAATGAAGGCACATGAATCTAGATTTAAATTGACCAAAGAAAAAAAAAATACAGAAATAAGTAGAAAACAAAATCCACAAGTGATAAAAGAAAGTTGGGAACTTTACCTTAAATACAACATTATCTCTTACATCAACTGAAGATTTAATGGCGCTGCCACACATCTACCAAGAACTTTAACCTCGGAAGAATTTACTAGTGGGATGAGGCATTTTGCCCACTCCATAGGAAGACGACCAATCTGAATTATGAAATGCACAGATGGTGTGAATTAACAAATTAGTACCTATCTCGCATTTTTAATACTACCACACACACACACACAAAATGAACATTTTAGAAAACATTAGTATACTACAATAAAGGGCAAAATAAAAGAAAATTGAAAATGGAGATTACCTCGCCGGATCGTTTGGTTTAGAAGCGAACAATCCCCGATGTTGCAGTAGTAGCCTTTGCGCTCACCCACTGTGAACTGTGTCTACTTCGACCCATGATTGGATTGAGCTTCTTTTGATTCGTTTGGCCTGTCCTATTCAATCTGGATCTTTGCATATTCATCATTGGAGACAACTCAATAATCATATCAGGTTCCTTCTTCACATTCACATCTGGCTTCGACTCAATAATCGATTGAGCTTCTTCTGATTCTTTTGGCCTCTCTTGCTCAATCTGGGTCTTGAGATATTCATCATCGGACATAACTTTGGTCCACTCACGATCTCGTCCACTTCAACTCTCTCGATCACCTGGTCTAAATTATCTCCCTATCTCTATATATATGTCGATATATATTGTAATGATCCGGTCATTTTCTTTCCTTTCCTTTTCTCGAAATTTTATTTTTTTTATTTTTTATTTTTTATTTTTTATTTTTTCCTGTTGATCTTTTCCTTTCTGAGTTTAGTTTCTCGTCGCTTAGTGTCGTCTCGAGTGCTCTAGAATGATTTTCGAGACTCTTTTCTTTGAATTGACAACTTCCTTTGAGGACCGCATCATTTCTACATTTTCATTTTTTCGACACTATTCACTTTTCGTCCTTTTCCCTATTTTGTCTTTTCCCCGTTTGTCACTTTGTTGGCACAACCTCACTTTTTTGTGTTCGGAGTTGATTTTTGACTTCGCATATCTTCATTCTAAGTGGTTTCCACGAAATATGTATATATACTTTTGTAGAAAGGTACTCTGGTTGCTCCCGGTGTCCATAGGGTATGGATGCACAGTTCTTCAGAAACATTTCATTTTCTTGGGGTATTTTTCGTAAATATCTTTTGAAGATATTTTATTTCAGGGGTTTTTAAGAAAATATTTTTGAAAGATATTTTCATTCTGAGCCAGTTATGCAGTTTTCACTTTTTGGAGGGACCATTGTGCAATTAATGAAAGTTATTACTAAATGCCTTGTTTTGAGTCTGAATCCTCGTACGGGATTCATTTTCACTTTTCGTCAAGTCGTGTACTCTTAGAATTTCATTCTAGTCATTTTTCTCCAATTTCAGGGTTTCTGGACTCGGTTGCCGCCGAACTTGTTCGGGGCATATCTCTCTGTACGGGACTCAGTTTTTGACGCCGTTTCTTCCGTTATTCATATTTTCTCATATCAGTTCTTTTTCATTCACGGAGTTTCACCGTTTGAGCGCATCTGCTCAAATTCTACTTTTCAGAACCTGGCGGGACCCTTTCGGGACACTTTTAGGGTTTTACTATAAATAGAATGTCTTAAAGTGAAAATTCACTTTTTTCATCTTCTTCCTCCCTCTTGGCCGGTAGCCATGGAAGACCATGGGGCTGCCACCTTCTCTCTCCTCTTTTGAGCTTCTTCCCTTCAGTGAAAAATGTTTATGTTTGTCTTAACTACGCGCATCTTTCCCCCTTATAAGAATCCGTTTTTGGCCATTTCTTGAGTTCGTGTTTGAGATCAAGTTGTGATTTTGATGGGGCTTCCTTAGGGTTCATGTTCACCTTGTTGTCCCAAACAAAACTTAGAAATTTCGTTGGATTCGAAGCGGTTTCATTTTGGTGGGGATTTGAGATTTCATCTCAAATGGAGGTAGGGGTGTCTTTGGATTTCGTATGTGTTGTATTGAGTGTTTTTCATGATTATACAACTTGTTTGCATGCCTTGTATCAAATCTAGAAAATTAGTAAAATTTATTTCTTTGTATAAGATTTAAATTACAAGGATGTATATAGCTTAGAATTGAATTGTGGCATGATGATAAATTATATTTTGATATGTTAGTTAACATATATTAAATTAGAATTATTTGAATAAGAATTGCACTTTTTATTTAATAATTATCTTTTGTGAAAGTTTAATTTTAATGGATGTACCTTGCAAGAAATTAACTTGTGATATGCTTTTAAATTAAGTCTTGGCATGTTCTTTAACGTACCTTAATCTGAGAGCATTTGGATGAGTATGAGATTCTAGAGATTTTAATTAAAAGGTTTAATTAAAATCTATTTTAAAGGTTTCATTGGCTTAATTGTGTTTTAACTTGATCTTTGTGATGACTAGGACTTGTATACTAGCATATATTAATTTGGGACTATTTGATGTTGTTTTAGAAATTAGGGATTTGATTATCATGATTTAATTAAATTCCATTTTTATTGTTCAAATGGCCTAATTAAGTTTTTGAATTGGTATATGTAGCGACCATACTATGTTGTTTAACATGTGTTAATTAGAGATCATTGCTTGAGATTTAAAATTTAGAGAAATTAATTAGGTTATGTAATTAATTTCGGTTTCTATTGCGTTAATAATTTAATCATGTGCTTGACATTGATTGTATATCTAAATCATGATTTTGGACTTGTATTAGATTCTTCAGTTTATATTTTTAATATTGAATTATATTGTTATAGCGTGTAACGAATCGCACACTGAAGATTTGACATGTGATGTTATTATAGCGCGTAACGAATCGCACTCTGAAGATTCGACATTGTCATCCTATAGTAGTTATGGATTTAGAGCATGTATTGTGTGGTTACAAACTACTTTTGCATGGGATGTGGTTTCATGCTTTATATATATTTCATATATAAGTTGTTAACTTATTTATTTTGGAGTCACTTGGGACATTGTTACTGTGATATGGCTAGAGTTTGGCTCTAGTGCGGGAGGTACGAGTTCGCCCCGTTGAGATAGTGCGCACTAGGGTGGTCTTCCCAGCGGGTTAATGCTCGGAATAACCATTTAGGTCTTGGTACTCCGAGATTTGATGTCCAAGTATTCCACTATTTATTTTCACATTCAATTCCAAGTTGACAACCAATGTTTAATTGTGACTTGTGGTTTTGATTATTGACAATTTAATGTTGTTAAGTATATTTATGCATTATGATTTAGAATGAATCATAGCATGCCTTTAATGTTGATAAGTACATTCATGTTTTATGATCTTTAATGAATCATTGTAAACTTTGATGTTGTTAAGTACATCTATGCTAAATGTTCAAATGTAGCTTAGGAATGATTCTGTAGATTCAATTGAGCATAGACGTTAGGTGGCATGACCCACTTTGGTTGTTTTCGTACTTTAGGTTTCAAGTTGATAACTTTGAGAATCTATATCTTGTTGCTTTATATAGCATGCTTCTATATTGGTTAAATTGCATAGATATTGTAATTCGTGTTTTGTTGTTCAAATGTAGCTTAGGAATGATCCTATAGATTCAATTGGAACATAGACGTTAAGTGGCATGACCCACATTTGTCGTTTTTGTATATTAGATTT